TGAGAATCGACGAGAGTGTCCACTCCCAGCTCAGAGAGAAGTTCCAGGACAAGATGCTCAGAATGCAGAAAGGGTAGGAAAGTTTGAGAAACTGTCCAGTCCACTCAAACTTTTTTTTTGTGTGTGTGTGAATAAAGTTAACAGTCAGGTTGTAATTTTTCCTTTAATATGTCCCTTGATTCATATATATTCTGAGTAAATGAAGTGTATGATGGTTCAAAATTTCAGAGACATTGAGGAGTTTCAGAATAACTTCTCTTTTGCCTGTCCTAAGTTCCTGTCCCCGGTTCCACCTAACTATGATGCTGTGGCCTCCATAAACCATAAGGTATAACAAGGCTCTTATTCTGCAAATATGTTCTCTACATAAATCCTCCAGTTATGGTTCTTGTGCTCTGAGAGTGATATTTTACACAATATTAGCAAATTATAGTTATTCTCACTTTCAGTGTTTAACATGCCTTCGTATTTTTCCAGGAGCCCTTCCTGCTTCAGTTGAAGGTGTTTATAGAGGAGGTGTCTCAGCAGATAGTACTCCCCACCATCAGGAGGTAAATCTGTCACTGTATTCATCAGAATTCATAATTGTACTCAAAGACATCATTTTAATATGAAGAATAAGCTTTCCAATATAACTGAAGTTATTTTTTCTTCAAAGTAATCCAATATCACAAGTGGTTTGTTATATCCCGTTTCTATTCTATCCTACATATTCCTCGTTTCATTTGAACACTCTTTCTGCAGGGCTATGGCTTGGTGATCATCTCTCAGTGTTATTTTAATTAAGTACTTGATTTACCCGAGTCATTTTGTTGTAGTTACCTGAAGCTCTACACCACCTTACCCCTGTCAAAGCTGGCCATCTTCATGGACATGGTAAGTCTAGTGGTACCCAAGTCCTTAGATGTGCTTGTCAAGCTCCAACAATTATTTATTTCAGATTTAAATAGAAAATAAATCTTAGTACAAAAATTCATTTTGACAGATGTATTAGGATTCAATGATTTTTTTTATTTTAGAGTGAGGATGAACTGAAAACACATCTGATGTGCTTTAAGGTATGTTTCAGTAATAAGTATATTAGATAACTGAGCCATCTTATATATGTATATATCACTAATCATTTGGACATGGTGTAAATTATTTGAAGCTCTTGTTCATCTTAAATTCAGCATAAAATGAAGAATGTTGTGTGGACGAAGGGAACCAGTGGTTTGGAGGGGGAGTTCCAGTCGGCCTCAGAAGTGGACTTCTACATTGACAAGGTCAGTATACACAGCGGACTTCTACATTGACAAGGTCAGTATACAAAGTGGACTTCTATATTGACAAGGTCAGTATACACAGTGGACTTCTGCATTGACAAGGTCAGTATACACAGCGGACTTCTATATTGACAAGGTCATTATACACAGTGGGCAATCTACATTGACAAGGTCAGTATACACAGCGGACTTCTATATTGACAAGGTCATTATACACAGTGGGCAATCTACATTGACATGGTCAGTACACACAGTGGGCAATCTACATTGACAAGGTCAGTTTACACAGTGGACTTCTACATTGACAAGGTCAGTATACACAGTGGGCAATCTACATTGACAAGGTCAGTACACACAGTGGGCAATCTACATTGACAAGGTCAGTTTACACAGTGGACTTCTACATTGACAAGGTCAGTACACACAGTGGGCAATCTACATTGACAAGGTCAGTACACACAGTGGGCAATCTACATTGACAAGGTCAGTACACACAGTGGGCAATCTACATTGACAAGGTCAGTACACACAGTGGGCAATCTACATTGTTAAGGTCAGTACACACAGTGGGCAATCAACATTGACAAGGTCAGTATACACAGTGGGCAATCTACATTGACAAGGTCAGTATACACAGTGGGCAATCTACATTGACAAGGTCAGTATACACAGTGGGCAATCTACATTGACAAGGTCAGTATACACAGTGGGCAATCTACATTGACAAGGTCAGTATACACAGTGGGCAATCTACATTGACAAGGTCAGTACACACAGTGGGCAATCTACATTGACAAGGTCAGTATACACAGTGGGCAATCTACATTGACAAGGTCAGTATACACAGTGGGCAATCTACATTGACAAGGTCAGTATACACAGTGGGCAATCTACATTGACAAGGTCAGTATACACAGTGGGCAATCAACATTGACAAGGTCAGTATACACAGTGGGCAATCTACATTGACAAGGTCAGTATACACAGTGGGCAATCTACATTGACAAGGTCAGTATACACAGTGGGCAAGTCTGAAGATTACTTTGTACTTAGGAGATATAATTTTGTCCATTTTCTGGCTTATACGAAAACTAGTATATTCATTTAAGCATTGAACATAGGTCAGTATAACACACAGTGGCCGTGCCAACAAATTGAATACTGCGTTATTATAATTTGTCGGCACGGCCAAGTGTGTAATAGGACCGAAGACATCCCAAAATATGAATTCAATGCTTATATTTACATTCTCTAATTTTTTCTCTTCATATTTGTTTATTTCGGTAATCTTTAATGTAAATTTAGCGCCCTGCAAAACTGGTGTGCTTTATAGACGTAACAGCCGTTTTTGACGTTTTTGACGTTGCAAAGTTTAATAACGCAAACGAAAATTGCGAGGGAAAAAAGTGACAAATTAATTATAAACGCACATTTGTTGTATTTTTACGTTAATTTAACAGGGTTATAGTTTTTGAATTAAATTCAGTCAAAATAATGTACATTTTGATATTCTAGAGTATTGAAAATACATATAGTTCCTACTGTATATTCTAACGCGCGGTGACAAGGTTTCGTGTGTGTTATAGAGATTTGAACGTCGTGGATTTCTAATGGATTTCATAAAGAAAATTACACTGAATGTAAATATTTAGTTTTAAAATTGCAAGTATATGTATTTATTTTGGTTATTGACAGTAGAGGTTGAAACTTCTTAATTGTACACAATTTGTTGTTAATTATTTTAATTAAGTTAACAATTTATATTTCTTTCGATGAATTTAGGACATGATCCATATTGCTGATACAAAAGTTGCAAGAAGATATGGAGATTTCTTCATTAGACAGATTCATAAATTTGAAGAGGTGAGCATTATTTACTTTAATTCAAAGGCTAACCTTTGGCTCAGAAACTTTGTATGTTGTCTATTTGTAATCTTTCGCTAAAATTTGATAGTTTAAACTCACCTGAGCTGAAAACTTTGAATTTTTCTGATCAACTTTTCTCCAGCATCCATTTGTCTGTCTGTCTGTGTGAATTAAACTTACTACGTTTTCAACTTCATTTTGAGAACAACTGGACCAAACGGAGACTAACGTTTTACATTGGACTACTTTAAATTAGCTCACCTCAGCTGAAGGATCAAACTGTGCATTAATACTTTCATTTCAGTTTCTTTAAGTGAAATGCTCTTCTATAAAGTACATTTAGCAATACTTGAAGCTGTAATTTTTCATGTTGTTTAATTTGTTTTTGTTGCCAGATAACCAGAAATTTGAAATTAGTTAGTTCAGGAGCTGGAAAGACTTCCTCTTAACACTGCTGACAGAATAGTGGCAGTGAACAACGCATTAATACAAAGTGACAGCAAACTATGTTATAATACAGTGACATTATTTAATACATTCAGTGTCAAATGTCATTAATGTTCAGTGTCTAAAGGGAAATAAAATATTGTAAATGTCAGTTGATTGTGGTTGGTTTGTATAGAAAGATGACTATTAGTTCATAGCTTTCTGATCTGAACAGTCATGGTTTCATTTGTAAAATTTTTAGTTTCTTGTTAAGGTAAGACCTAAGCAGTTTTAAAAGCACGCTTTACTACCTCTATCAGGCAATACTTGATAACACAAGAAAATCAAGAACACAGTATATTTTGTATTGTTGTTGGTTTTACTATGTATAATGTATTGCCTGTATATTCTGTGTTGCGTCTATTTGATAGAGACATCACCATCAATTCAAATGGCCAATAACGAATAAATTTCAAGAAGAAATTTTTACTCTTGAAAAATAAAGTTTAGAAACTAAAAGACCTACACATCGTGATAGAATGGACAATTCTTTAATAAGCTCAAGAATGTCCGCAATGATGAGAAAGAAATGTTTTGAGACTGCTGTAGCTCTCACATACTTCATTTCTTTGTTTTCAATTAAAAATAATTTAATATTAGTTGTAACACGTCATTTGATTGGTTAAACGGTTTTATCCATTTTGTATAACATAACTTGCCTACGTCACAATGAGTTACGTCAAAAACGTATTACTCCGCTTGACGTTAATTTTAAAATAAAGCTCAGTTTTAAACCTTTTTCCCAAGGAAATATTGTCCTATTGTTTACCCTGCAATTAAATTATATCGCGGTTTATAAAGCGTAAACTGCCTCAAGTTATGTTATATCGGATAACATAAGTTGAAATAAGCTTCATTCCTTAAATAACCATCTAAAAGGGCCATATCAGTAATCTGCATCTCATGTGTTCTAGCCATACATAAAAATACATTTATCTGCAAAAGAAGAGGCCATATTAGTGCTCATAGCAATGCCACTGACTTGCAGGTTATATTCTCAATTGAACATGAAATAATTTCACTTGAGAACATGCCTAAAGAGCTAGGCAAGGTATCTGGTAGAGGGACTGATCTACTATCCTTAACTTGACCTACTTCACAATGTTACTGTAAATTTTCTAAAAAAAAAAAAAATTACAGGGAAAACGTAAATTAAAATATTCTTTCACTGCAGAATATTCTTTGGGCAGTAACTATAATGTAGCTTTTGTTTTAACTTCACATTGACCAGACTGTTTTTGTGTTAAATTGTATTTTTATAAGCAAAATGGGTCTCACAGCAGGTCCTGTGGTGAAATGCAGGTGCTGATGTTGTTTCTACCTAGTCTGTCATACATTCACTAAAGAAAGAAATGATGGTTGTTTCAAGTACATTTTATTTAAGACAATGATTTTAGCTGCATGTTATACAGTCAAATAGTGTATAAAAATTATAATGATCAAAGGCTATCAATATATCTTGCATAAAAACAAATAATCAGTAATGGGAAACTTTCAATGTAAAAGCAAATGTTTCATAATTTACATAATTTTTATACAGTAAATCAAGATAATTGTTGCTATATTGATTTAAATTTTTCAAATAAATGGAATTAAATAATATATATCACAGAAATTACATTCTGACATACTAAATGGTAGATCAGATCTGACAGCTGTACATGTATTTTCATCCTGGCCTGCTTATGTATGACATTTGTAATGGTGAATCTTTTCATCTAGAGTGGTAGTGACAAACATTCACAACACATCTGGCATTCAATGGAATGTATCTTGATGACAATGCACATAATAGCAAGATCCAGATTTGAATGACATCACTCATAGATGGCAGTGAGCCTTGTAACCTGATCATGGAAAGCCATGCATTGAATGCTGAGTCCACATCCTTTAATTGTCTAATAAGGTAAAGAATTGGGCCTCAAAATCTGAAAAAAGGAAAGAAGACAATTTTTTGAAGCCAAGGTGAATGTGAAATAAATAGTAAAAGTCAAGGTCAATTTTTGTATAACTCTCATGCCCTACTGACTATTCAATAACATCTTTTTGCAGTGATGTATATTCACAGATGAATAGCAAAGGGAAATACCTTCTGTCAGAAGAATACAAATTAAAAGAGCCCTAATCATATGTAACTAAAACCTGATCAAGTGGTCCAGAATAAAATGCCTCTCTATTATATAATATTTTAGTTCACCTCATCTGAAAGCTCAAGTGAGCTTTTCTGACTACCCATCGTCCTTTTTCTGCCTGTATTCTTTTCACATTTTCAACTTCTTCTCCAAACCACAAAGCCAATTTTAACTTAACTTGGAACATAGCACCCTAAGATGAAGGGAAGTTAAAATGCAAGGGCAAAGCCCCTTCACAAGAGGAGATAATCAAGAAAAGACGAAAATAGGATAGGGTCATTACAAAATTTCCTCCAGAACCACTGGGCCAGAAAAGCTGAACCTTAAGTGGAAACTTCCCAGGTTAGTGTAAATTTTAAATTGTTCAAATCATGGCCTCTGGGGATAGGTTGGGACCACAATAGAAAATCAAAGCTCTACATTGAAATATACAGGAAAAATATTTAAAAATCTGCTTCTCAAGAATCACTGGGCATCAAAAGCTGAAAATTATGTGGAAGTTTCATAAGGTTGTGTAGATTTTTAGATTCTTCAAAGCATTGCCCCCGAGGGTTGAATTTGAGAACAATAAAAGAGAACACCCAGGAGGAGTTAACTTTACCTCCTTAATTTGTTATCCTAATTACATCTGATATCAATCATCATAATCTGCCCATCTGTTGTCCCTCTGGTAACTAGATCTGTCATTTCTACTGCCGTATCGACTACTGCCCTGCCCCCTGCCTCCATATCTACTGTCACCGTATCGACCTCCTCCATATCGACTGTCACCGTATCGACCTCCTCCAGGTCTACTGCCGTACCTTCTATTAGATTCGTAGTTCCTGGAATACCTGCTTGCTTGAGCAGCTGAAATGAAAAAAGATTTATAGGCTTTGGGTTTTCCAGAGATCAACTCTATTTTAAAACCACATACTATATAAAACCAGTTTGACTTTTTAACTTTACTAAAAGCAAACAAAGTACCTTCCATTAACTCTTCAGGGATATCTTGACCACTCTCTTTAAGTATTTTGACAAGTTTGTTCACTATATTAGGCTGTTCTAACAGACAGAAGAAGGAGATAGATTCGCCTTTCCTTCCCGCTCGTCCGGTACGTCCAACTCTGTGGACATAATCCGTCAAGTCTCGTGGAAAATCAAAGTTCACTACATGTGTAATGTCTGTAACATCTGAAAGAATCAATAGACCAATTTAAAAGAGGTTCACACAAGAGTGAACAAAATCTATTAAGAAATCCCTGAATCCCTATTCATGAACAATAATGAACAGGTCTGTTCCCTAAATAGAAGTCTACAACGATCAACGGACAAATGCTAAAAATAAACAAGGAGCTCATTCTTCTGACCATTCTTCTATTTATGGATATAATTAATGCATAGAATCTGTTGAAAAATATGATTGCTATAAATGTTTGTTTATACCTTTATCTGAGTGACATTTTAACCACATGTGCTTGAAACTGTTATTTTTACTTTATTTTTACACACTGCAGGAATTATAAAACTGAATATACACCCATACCTATTCCTCTTGCTGCTACATCAGTTGCCACTAAGATTGGTACCATTCCCAGCCTGAAATCTGAATACCGACAAAAAATTATTATGCGAGATAAGTGCTTCATCCTTTCATTTCCATAAGAGATCATGGGGTCAACATCAAGGCCCTGTACATCTAGTACCTACCTTTCAGAGCCCTGTCTCTACTAAACTGACCAATATCTCCATGTATAGCCACTATCTTCTTCCTGTAACAGGACATCACAATCAAACACCATTCCAGTCTTTATAATCAAATGCATTGGTTTCCTAAAGATCCTCTGTATACAAAAATTCTTTTTTTTTGGGGGGGGGGGGGGGGGTGACAATAATAAATTGATTGTAAGGTTTTAAGCATAGGGCATCTGCTTCCCCCAGGAACTTTGAAAAGAAACCATTGTCCATAAACTATAATTCACTCAATTTTAAATCAATAAACAAATCACTCTTACTGGTTAAAAGAACAAGAAAATTGAAACTCCTAGGCGAACAGTATATAGAGGGTCATTAATTTATAATCACATACTTTTTTTAACTGGTATCTTCTCCTACCTGAGCTACAATATCAGATTATCTACCTGAATTTTAGCCTCCTTCAGTTGATCACCTTTGCCTGAGAGCTCTGTAGACACTGAATATAAGGTTATTTCCATAACTTTGATTTCACTTACTTGAGAGCTTTGTGCAACTTAAATGCCAGATTATCAGCCTTTGCCTTGGTGTTGGTGAAGATCAGAACCTTGGAGTTTGGCTCACTTAAAACTTGCTTCATTTCATCCACAAATCTAAAATATTATCCACACATTACTTATACATGCACATGTACTGCTAAACCTAACAGTTTAATTTGAAAAGGATTCTTAGCTTAAAAATAGTTTCAAAATCAAAGGAGAATCTTACTTGTATAGTTTATCATTTTCATCATCAACCAAGATCAGCTTTTGATTGATATTCTTATTAATGGTCAAGTCATAGTGTCCCAAACGAACTTGGACATTATTAGACATGAAGTCCTGGGCCAGATTTTTGACTTCTACAGGCCAAGTGGCACTCCACATTGTTGTTTGTCTGAATGGCTGTAAAAATAGAGGTTCTGGGTCTAAACATGCTCAAATTTATGTAAATTTACAGATAACTTAAGAGGACTCAGGTATAGTATTGAATTCATAATAATTCTCTCCAAAATACCATCAAAAATGCTATTTAAAGTCTTAATAAAACATTTACTAGATGGAAGAATACTGCAAATTACTTTTAATTCATGAGGACTTAATTTTTTGCGTAATTAAGCGATACAATGTGTGCCCTAAAAAATTTCATTCTCTTGTTTATTATTTTTTCTTAAGATTATGTAAAACAATAGACACAATTCATGGAATTTTTTTCTCGATAATAAAGAGATAATAATTTCAAAAATAAGGTGTCGCAAAATAAAGTGATCTACAGTACTTTTAGTAATCTGATAAGTTCTTCTCTGTCTTACACTAAGATATTTCATAACGCTCCTAATCTGAGGTTCGAAGCCCATGTCCAACATTCTGTCTGCCTCGTCCAGCACTAAGTATGACACGTCCTCTAACAACATGGACTGTTCTCTCAGAATATCTAACAACCGGCCTGGAGTAGCAACTATGATATCTAGGCCTCCTGTAATACAAGATGGAAGATATCATATATAATGTCATTCATTAATATCTAGATAATCCATATTGTAAACAAGAGATGTTTGTAAAACACTTATGCCCCCCTCCCCCTAAATTGAAATTTTTCTAAGTCCAAAAGGGCATAACTCTGTCAAAAATGGTGCGATTGTACCAAAAACAAAACTTGACAAAGACATTTAATTGAGAAATCTGTGTACCAAATTTCATCTCAGTATGTGCAATCTCTACAAAGAAAATGAACGAAAACTGCAAATAACTGGAATTTTTCTAAGTCCAAGGGACATAACTCTGTCAAAATTGGTGCAATACGTTCTATTTCCACTATTGAAGAGTTATAGTTCTTAGTGCGCTCTTTTGTGAAAAAGTCAGAGAATGTACAAATCTTGTGGGGTACCCAAAACAAAACTTGACTTAGATATTCATGTAAAATATCAGTAAACTTTCAGTATGTACAACTGTTGCAAAGAAAATGAATGGAAACTGCAAATAATTGAAATTTTTCCAAGTCCAAGGGGCATAACTCTGTCAATAAAGTGCCCTGCCACAGCTTGATATGCCCGTCAAATATTGTTCAATAATCATAAATTGGTTGGGGTGCAAGAAAATCAGGTAACCTTGTTTAACAGAGTGACACATGCAGATTTCAATGATCTAATTTCCATTTCTTATCAAATTTAAAATATTGTACATACATCTCTAAGAGACTTACAGGATTAATTTCAGGGATTAATTATAACAAATAATACATCATGTAATTCTTAACTGGCTGTGTTAGAACTTAACAAATATCCATCTGCAGCTTTAAATTGTTTATTGCATATTTTATGAATTAATGGAAATGCTACAGTCTAATAAAAAATCAAAAATAAATTATTCTTTAGATTATGAAATTCTAAGTAAGTCATGACTGCAATTTGTTGCAAATATATAAAAACTGAAATGTATTTTTTTTTTTTCAATGAACACATATACAATTAGTTTTAATTATATTATACAATACTAATTTAGTTTTAATCATACACTAAAACATCAATTTGTTTTAATTACATTACACCAATTGAAAGATCTTTATCTGAACTATAGCCATCAAGAACTCTTAATTAACACAAGCAACTATGAGGCCATTTCTTTTTACCCAACTCCCAAGAGATAAATTAAGATAACACAGCTGCATGATCATATCTAGAGATGCTCTTGCTTTACAATAAACTCATTAATTTCTCTCTAATTTGACGTGCAAATTTCTGCTACCAAAATTCTTCTTGACCAGTGCTTGATAATTATGCCCATGGGACAAACTGAATTCCTCTCAAAACATTAACATTTGTTACAGATTGCTGTAAAGTATATGAATATGAAAAAATAAGTTTTTACTTAATTTAACATTTTTTAATAAGGATACAACTATATTTTTACATTTTTTAGGATTATGAAATTTAAAATTTAAAAGACTTAGTTTATTTTTAAAAATTTACTTAAATTAAAGGTCACAGTGACCTTGAAATAGACCGCGACACACCTTCTACCATAGATGTATACTTTTGCTAAGTTTGAAAGCTCTAGGTCTAATAGTTTTCTAGTTATGAGCCGGACAGGATTTTTCCATATTTGGCTTTAGCATCTTTATTAAAGGTCAGAGCGACCTACTTTTTGTGCGCGACACACCGTCTACCCAAGAAGTATTAGTTGACAAAGTTTGATAATCCTAAGCCTAATAATATTCAAGTTATGAGCCGTACAAGAATGGACAGACAGACGGACGGACATGAAGCCTATAACATACATGTAATACGTCCTGCCTTAAGACGGGCGTATAAAAATGGTGCGATCAGACCCAAAACAGAACTTAGCCTAGATCCTCATGTGATATATCTGTATACCAAATTTCAATATGTGCAACGGTTGCAAAGAAAATGAACGGAAACTAAGTGGACTGACAGACCAACAGAAGCAGCAAAGCAATATGCCCTCCCTTCTTTGAAGGGGGGCATAAAAAGGCTGGTAAATAAATGTTTTGACAGGCAATAAATTACAATTAAGAGAATTAGAGAAGAGAGATCTTTCCCTCTGTTGTCAAATTCTCAGGAGATATAGATAACACATGATCAGAGATGCCCAACTTCCCATGCTAAGCTCATTAATTATCTTTAACTGGATACATGTCCACTCATATCTCGACAAATGGATAGACTATAATTGGAATTTTTCTAAGTCAAAAGGGCATAACTCTGTAAAAAATGGTACGATCATACCCAAAACAGAACTTGGCCTAGATATTCATCTGATAATCTGTATACCAAATTTCATTTCAGTATGTGCAACGGTAGTGAAGAAAATGAACGGAAACTAAGTGGACCGACAGACCGACGGACGGCAGCAAAGCAATATGCCCTCCCTTCTTCGAAGGGGGGCATAAAAAAGCCCAGAGTTTATAATACATTTTATAGGGTTCAGGAATAAGCTGGGACAGAATTATACAATGTTCATACATTGTACAGAGTTCAGTAATATACTGGGACAAACTAATTTTAAAATGTTTCTATATTGTACAGTGTTCACTAGTATAATGGGAGAGATGTGTTTGTATTGTTGAGAGCTCAGTTATACACTGGGATAGATGTGTTTAATTACCGGTACATTTATAGTTTTGTATATTTTTACAGTAGTATGTTAGAACACCTAACTATTGTATTGTTTTACAATCTGTAAAGAGCTTGTTAATATACTGGGTCAGATATGTTTATTTACAGGTAATGTAAATATTTAACACTGATCTCCATTATGCTGGGACAAACCTAAAATTTCCTGCATTTGTCTTGACTTGGAGGATCCTCCATACAAACATCCAGTCCTCAGCTTAAATGGCTTACAGTAGGGGAAGGAGACCGAGGCAATCTGCTGAGTTAGCTCCCTTGTAGGCGCCAAAATTAGTACCTTTCATGAATAAAAAATATATAAAATATGCAAAATTTTGTCCTTCAAGACTGAAATAGCTTATGCTCATACAATTTCCTTGAATGCATGAAAGGTTTTATATTTACATGTAACTGATTAATTTATTTGAATTAACTGAGAACACTGTCACACTCATATATCATCATCACTCACCCTCGGTCGTCTTGGAAACTTCTGTTTTGTTGTTTTCTGATTCAGTGTATGCACTATTGCTGGTAACATGAACTGAAACAGGACATAATATCATCAAGTGTCATTCATACAAAAGAATAAAATAGTTATAGCAAAATACTGGTTTCATTTAAATATAAAGAGATTCCTAATATAGTTACCCCGAGTGTTTTCCCTGACCCAGTCTGTGCGATCCCTACACTGTCCAGCCCTGATAAAGCAATAGGCCATGTCAGAGACTGTATGGCTGTCGGTGTGGTAATTCCATTCTTTGTTAGCGTTGTCTTTATTTCCTCTGAAAAAAGTATTCGTACACTTGTATTATATTTTTATCACTTGTGACTAATGATTGTGTACCCATAATTAGTCTTAGTCTGTTCCCAAGTGGCATCTATTTATCAGAGAAATTGTATAAAATTTGAATTTTCAAAGAAAAATTTTCACAGAGAGGTAAATAACGAGATTTTATTATATGATTGAATAATTTCCATCTCTCTGATTGGCTGAGATCCAACTATGTTAGAAAAATACTACGTTGTATTGACCTGCACGTGACGTTCCAGGTCAATAGAAGGATTTATTTACTCTACATTGATCTAAAAATAAATTGGGAAATTCCAAATTGATACAAGTTATTTAAACGACTATGATTTTTTTGTTGTGAACAAAACATAAGCAAATATATATTTTAGGGTGAGGGTGGTTAGGGACCCCCCTACAACACTTTTACTGAACAACATTTTTTTTTTTTACTTTTTGGCAGTCAGTTTTCTCTGAAATACACCTTCCTTTCAAAATCTATCCTATAAAAAAGACTGACATTATATATTTTTTCATGGCAACTAAAATTGATAAAAAAAACATTTCAAATTGATACGACTGGTACGGTTTATTCACATTTTAATTCTACTTCTCTCTTGTATTTGGCTAGGACTTAATTAGTTTAGTTTAATATATATTTTATTCATAGAAATGGATTGAACAGCAGGCATAAATGCCTATGATTGTTCTCTCCATAGGACTTAATTAAATGCAAACAAGTAATGAGCTGTATCATTTTATCAGTGAATCATATAATAAAACAATTATTGCTGTTTTTTCGGTCAATACAATGATTCAGCCATCTTCGAAGTACAATATTCACCTCGCCCTTCGGGCTCAGTGAATACTGTACTCCTCAGATGGCTAAATCATTGTATTGACCTCAAAAAACAGCAATAATTGTATAGTATCGTTACCAACCTGGAAAGTTTACGTGATCCAAATCTAACACAGGGTTAGGAACATCCCCATACACCTTAACATTATGTCTTTCATGGAATATCTTGACCTCCTCCTGATGAAAATAAAGTACAAATTAGAAGTCTTTTTCAAAATCTTTTAATCTAAAATATCTAATAACCACCTACCCAAGGTTTTGAAAGTAAATCATTCATCACTATTTCACCTCATCACAAATTAACTTATTACAGTAAAACTCATTTAGTATGAACACGGATATTGTGAATTCATGGATATAGCAAAGTTATCATGGATCCCAAGATATATAAATTAAACGAATTCTTCATACAGATATTATAATGAATTAAGGATATAGTGAAGTAATTTCGTAGGTCCCAGTGACTTGGTTATAAATTAACCAAGTTTTACTGTAAATCTATTTGAAATAACTAAAAGATATGTACTGCAGAAAATACTGCAGCAACACATCTCATAGTAAATATTACCTCTGTCATGTTTCTGACAGCTTCATGTTCCAAATAGAAGTTTTTCTCCAATTCAGTGAACTCTTGTTTTTCTTTTGGTATGTCCTCAAGAAAATCATTCCAGGAATTGCCATAGCCTACATTTTTCCTGACACCATTTCCTATGAAGTAGTCTTCACCTCTGTTTGATCTAAAACAAAGGAAATCATTTTTAATGTGTTTTTTTTTGAGAATTTTTTCTAAACCTTTTTTTTTAAGCATAGCACATCAGGATAAAAGCAGCACATTCACTGTTCTATAAGTACCTGTACTTATCTGTTCTGTTTCTGGTGCTTCGGGCTTCCAGCAGTTTATCTAAACTTCCTTTATCATCCTGAAGAATTGAACACACTGAAAATCTTCTCAAAGAATTTCCTGCCTTTTCAAAACATCTGTAATTTAAAATGAACAACTTATATTTCTATAGGAAATAATAGTAATATGAAGTATTTGAAGCAGACTATTGCTGGACCTCTTCAGCATCTGAGATTTAAACGAATAGGACATTGCTATAAAAAATCAACAACTTTATATTTTGTTGGATTTAAACCTTTTAAAGTTAAGAGACAAAAGTTTTATAGTAATATAGTTACTTAAGGACATTCGATCCTGAGATTTTGAGCGTATTTTGGTCAGGTTCTTTATTTATAAAATTCTGCATCATTTTTAAGTTCTAACATTAAATTTGAATTCTACAGTGCAAATTCAACTATATTCCATGAAAAAAACGCAAGTAAATTCCATTCAAGTAGATTTAAGCTAGGGACTATGTTTTGTGGCCGAAGGTTTTTTAGACGAAAATGATCAGTTTTTCTATTTTGAACTATAACAGTACTGTTAATTTTGGATTCCTATTTTTCCATCCTGGTTGCACACAAAACTGTTTTTTGCAGTGAAAAGTGTTATGCTGGTTCTGAAATATCTATTTAATTATTTCTTATGAATTCTATCAACAAAGTGTGACAAATATAGTAAATATATTCTGAAAATCCGGGAAAAAATTGAGCCAATCTTAACGTAAAATTGACACTTTTTTAGTAATATCTAAAAATTTACATCATATACCCCCACTTTTGATGTTCTTTTCTAAATATTCAAGATAAATTTGACCTATTTGCTTAAAATCAGAAAAAGTTTAAGACTTTAAAATAATTTTCTTGCTTATCAAATTTTCAATGCCAGAAAAATCACTTTTTATCAGTGCAGAAAGGTCAAATAATTGAAGCAATTTGAAACTTTTTCTTTGCCAAATTTTTAAGTGTCTTTTTATAAACAAACTTAGAGTTCATTTTGTTTCATGCTTTAATTGGATAAAAATATTGGAAGGAAAATGTCAAAAATTTAATTTTTAATTAAGACACAAATTTCAGTGCAAAAAGGTCATATTAAATGTACTGTAGCGCCCAAAAGAAGCGTATTGACCCCCATTTTTTGATTTGAATTTTAATTAAGCTATGAATGTAGAAACTAAAAATACACTTGGCAAAAAAAGTTTAAGACTTTAAATATCAGGATCGAACGTTGTTAAAAGGATGTCCAAAGTTTTAAAGTGAAAAGTTGAACAGGGCAGTTAATCCAATTCAGCCTTTATACATCAAAATATTGAAAACAAGGAATCGAAGTCCAGGTAAGAGTTCCTGAATCAACTTGTGTGACACTGGTCTGAGATTCGTAGAAACGTCAGACTAAAAACTTTAGTCTCTAATTTAATAAACAGCAAATAGATTAATAAATACAATTATGTGCCACCCCATCACTCCATAGAACTGAGCAAAATGTTTTTTTTTCCTATATGGTAGGTATATATGTAGGACTCCAAAGTGCCATGGGACTCCAAAGTCCGATGGTCACGCCAAAGTCCGATGGTCTGTGCCAAACCCCGATGGTTTGACACGCTAAAGTCTGATGGCGCAGAAAACAATTACTTTTTATGACGTCATAGTACCACTGCTCAAAAATGCGATGCCAAGCCATGCCAATAAATAAATACAAAATATAATAAATACAAAGACTAGCCCTTGTCTTTTGGATGTAGATGCGAAACTAAGACTTATCAGTTGAACAATGAGTATCAACTCTAACCTAACTATCATAGGTGGGTGCAAGACTAATCTAAATCAATCCAATAGTGTGCGAGGACTAACCCTAAAATCTCTCGGATGGGTTCGAAGAAACACAATAGTGTTCAAGGACTAACCCTTATCACTCGAATGGTGTACGAGGACTAACCCTAATACCTCTGATGGGTGAAAACAAAAAGCAATATCAGTAAAAATGTATAGGAGATGAGTACTGAATCAATTAAGCATTGAATTCATATTTTGGGATGTCTTCGGTCCTATAACACACCTGGCCGTGCCGACAAATTGAATACCGCGCGTTAGCACGGTATGATAATTTGTCGGCACGGCCAGGTGTGTTATAGGACCGAAGACATCCCAAAATATGAATTCAATACTTATATTTATATTCTTTAATTTTTCCTCTTCATAATTGTTTATTTCGATAATCTTTAATGTGAATTTAGCGCCCTTCAAAACTGGTGTGCTTTATAGATGTAAGAGCCATTTGTGACGACGTAAAGTTAAATAATGCAAACGAACATTGCGAGGAAAAAAAATTGACAAATTAATTTTAAATGCACATTTGTTTTATTTTTATGTTAATTTAACAGGGTTAATTTTTTAAATTAAATTTTGTCAAACAATGTACATTTTAGTGTTCATGAAGAAATGAAAATGCATAGTTCCTACTGTGTATCCTAACGCGGGGTGACAAGATTTCACGTGTGTTATAGAGATTTGAACGTCATGGATTTCATTAAGAAAATTACACTGAATGTAAATATTGGATTTTGAATGCAGAAGAACGTCATGACGTTGGACTTTTGTGACGTCAAAAATGTTAATTGTTCCTCCGTACCATCGGGCTTTGGCGTGTCAGACCATCGCACTTTAGCGTTGCGCGTCTCATACGAAACGAGCCATCGGACTTTGGCGTTCGTAAAGACAACGAGCCATCAGGGTTTGGCGCAGACCATCGGACTTTGGCGTCACCATCGGACTTTGGAGTCTTACATATATACCGACTTTAACTTTAATTAGCAGGGGACACCATCTGGTGGTTTATTCCTAAACTGCACCCGGCATGGCAAGGTCAACAGAAAGGATCCAGCAGATATATTTCCTTGAATAAATAAGCTAACGGTTTTAGTAAAGATATTTAAAATATTTATTTTTTCACAGAGTTAGAAGTCTTTTTAAATCGTATCTGCTTTGCATACTATCAGTTTAATCTGTTTCATAAGATTAGAGGAAATTCTGACTAATCGATAAAAGGTGAAAACGCTTTAATGCAACCAGTTTTCATAGAAATCATGAATTAAAAAAGAACATACTTCTTTTCCAACAATCCATGACCTAGTCTAGCTATCTGCAGAGTTTTAGAAAGAGGGAATGAAAACACTTTCAACATGCTTGACAAACACGTGTATTACGTCAGTGTTCTAAACTCGTTCCCTAGACCGGACTGCAATCAAGGGAGGTATATACTATCCCAGTTAATGGGATTTAACCGATCTCGATAAGTCCCAGTAACTGGGAAAATGTCAAAAAATATTAATAAATAGGAAAATAAAGGTTGAAAATGTAAATATGTAGGATATTAATGAGAATAAAACAATTTCCATACAAATTTGGATGTAGGTTGAGGCTGAGCCGCCGCAGCCGTGTTGTCCTTGGAGGAATCAGCCATGATGATATAGACTGCGGTACTGCGACGGCGCATGCGCATTATGCACTTCAGATCAGTTACCGGGATATTTTGAGTTCGGTTAAATCCCAAGAACTGGGACTATAAATACCTCATCAAGGACAGAGAACTAGAAAATATTTGTTAAACCGTTCCGCGAATAACTCGTTAATCCATTACAATCTTCAGAAAGGAGCTGGGTGAACAAAGAATACAAAATGCTCATAGCTGTTCAGAGGAAAATTTCTTGCAACTTTTATAAACAAATATTTTTATGCCTTCATAACTGAAGATTCGGGTAAAAAGTTTTTTGTCCTGTTCGTCCGTCTGTTTGCCCGCAAAAACTTGAATTTTGTCCATAACTTTTGAATGAGTGGGACTAAGGCTTGCATATTTCACGGGTGCATTCCTTGTAACAATACCTTTCTTCTTCTGGTACCACCAAATTTGACCTCTTGACCTTGGAGTTTGACCCACTTTTCCAAAAAAATCAAACTTTAATCTTGATCAACACTTAAAAACAGTTGATGCCACGTACCAGCTAGGCTTAGGGTTTTCATATTTCAAATGGGTATTTATTGTGACAAGACCTTTAATGGGTATAAATATTTTTTATGCCCCCGGATCGAAAGATCCAGGGGGTGTATTGTTTTTTTTCCTGTCCGTTTGTCTTTTGTCAACTTTAACCTTGCCCATGTAACCATTGCGCTTTCAAAGTTAATGCTTTTTAAATATTTGACACGAGTGTTCATTTTGACAAGACCTTTCCATTGGTACAGAAATTTTGCCCATTTGACCTTAACAGTGACCTTTGGTCTACATTTGAAACCCTTAAAAATCTTACAAGTGTATACCACTTCAGTCTAAGTCCCACTCCAGAATTGTGTTACCATCGAGGGCATGGGCATAGTGTTTCACAAACTCATCTTGTTACCTTCTGACATTAAACTTAGAGTTTGATCCACTTAATAAAAAAATTAACCTTGACCATAACTTTTGAACAGTCAGTACTAGGGCTTTATTTTATGACAGGTTCAATTATTCCTTGTAAATGAAACCATTCTCTGGAAACCAACAATTTTGACCTCGATCTTGGATTTTGACTTGTATTTTAGAAACTCCAATCTTTTCCATACATCAGTATGGACACCAGTGTTTCACAAACACATTTTGTTTTTAAATATGTTTCGTCGCCCGCATATATGACATGAAATTGGTACCGTGTTTCAAGATGATACCGGGTACAGATGTACCCTGGGTACAACCCCCCACCATTTATCCTTATTAATAAGGTTATAATAAGGGTACAGTACAAAACCATTTAATTCATTGATTGTATATTGTTTAACGTCCCTCTCGAGAATTTTTCACTCATATGGAGACGCCACCACTTGCCGATGGAGAGCCACAAAATTTGACCTATACTCGGCACTTAAGGACGTTCGATCCTGAGATTTTTAGCGTATTTTGGTCAGGTCCTTTATTTATAAAATTCTGCATCATTTTTAAGTTCTAACATTAAATTTAAATTCTACGGTGCAAATTTAACTATATTCAATGAAAAAACCGCGAGTAAATTCCATTCAAGTAGAATTAAGCTAGGGACTATATTTTGTGGCGGAACCGTACTTTCAAAATCTTCTGTCAAACTGATCCTTTTTTAACTTGAATACCTTGAATAACTCATGAACTAACTAAAACAGCCGTAAAAGACATATCTTTGCAGGTTAATTTTCATACAACATGTCTCTGAGTACATACCTCTAAAAATTCAACAGCCAAAATTAAACATAAAGAAGTGTGATATCATATTTTATTAAGCTATGCACCAAATCACATCAAATTTATATTAAAACTTGTGGAAAGAAAAAACATTCATTTGCCAGGAGAATATTTGAAATCTTTCCTGGAAAACATTAAAAAATTATGTTGAATCTTTCTTTAAGAATAAAATCTCAAAATATCTTTATTTTTAATAATTCTCAAAATCTAAATTGTTTACATGCCATTTTTTCTTTAAAATTAGTAAGAATCATATCTAAGGTTAACAAAAACACAAACTTTATTATGATTGACCAGAAAAATTTAATAAAACGGCCATTTGAACACGTATACCCCCATTTTTGGAATATCAAGTTTTTCAATCATTTTTAATAAAATTTAAAACGAAAGTAAAATTTAAAAAGATATAGACCTAAAATCTATAAAAATAGATCACAAGTTAGTTTGTTTAAAAAAATAAGAAGGGTTTATTAGGTTCATAAAGGCAATTAAGAATTTTGTGTCTGTATATGTGCTAAAAGCATATAAATCCTTTGGACAAAGTGTAAAGTGTTAATTTCCATAGTATATATTAAATGCTTTGTATTCAAATTGACACTATAATCAATAAATTTATACTTATTAAATTATTTTCAAGCAACCAAAATATTTTATTACAAAAAAAGTGATAATCAGAATTTTATATTGGTGTGTAAAATTAAAACCGGATCCGTAAAAGTATGGACCTTCCTTAATTTTGGATTCCTATTTTTCCATCCTGGTTGCAAACAAAACTGTTTTTTGCAGTGAAATGTGTTATGCTGGTTCTGAAATATCTATTTAATTATTTCTTATGAATTCTATGAACAAAATGTGACAAATATAGTAAATATGTTCTGAAAATCCGGGAAAAAATTGAGCCAATTTTAACGTAAAATTGACACCTTTTTAGTAATATCTAAAAAATTACATCATATACCCCCACTTTTGATGTTCTTTTCTAAATATTCAAGATAAATTTGACCTATTTGCTTAAAATCAGAAAAAGTTTAAGACTTTAAAATAATTTTCTTGCTTATTAAATTTTCAATGCCAGAAAAATAACTTTTTATCAGTGCAGAAAGGTCAAATAATTGATTATGCGAAGCAATTTGAAACTTTTTCTTAGTCACAATTTTTAAGTGTCTTTTTATAAACAAACTTAGAGTTCATTTTGTTTCATGCTTTAATTGGATAAAAATATTGGAAGGAAAACGTCAAAAATTTAATTTTTAATTAAGACACAAATTTCAGTGCAAAAAGGTCATATTAAATGTACTGTAGCGCCAAAAGAAGCGTATTGACACCCATTTTTTGAATTGAATTTTTATTAAGCTATGTATGTAGAAACTAAAAATACACTTGGCAAAAAAAGTTTAAGACTTTAAATATCAGGATCGAACGTCGTTAAGGCCATTGAGCAGTGAGGGACCTTTTTCGTGCCAGCTCCTATTGCGAAACAGGACCTCCGAAGGTGTGGGGTTGGCACAGCCATATCTTTTCAGTTGGAGGCACTATCAACTACCAAACATTTTTTGAGCAAAAAGCGAATAGTAGTTATGTTTTCTATAGTATTCTACTTATCGGCAAAATTATTGGTGGAAGGGGGGTTCTATACGGCCATATATATGACTTTTTTATGGACATTCATGATTGGTATCTAGCTTTGCGTAATGGCACCGATTCTTCACAACAAAAATAGCTCTACTTTTGAGTGACTTAATTTTTATTTTCATTTTGCATGATTTACGTATTTACTCTTCTGCAAAAAAGAAAAAAAAACAAGATGACTTTGTGAAACACTATGCCCCCTATGGTAACACAAATCTGGAGTGGGACGTAGACTGAAGTGGTATACACTTACACCTCACAGCGCTATAGTTATTGGCTAGGTTAAAGTTGACAACAGACAGGCAAACAGGACAAAGACAATATACTCCCGGGATCTTTCGATCCAGGGACATAAAAACATTACTAGAAGTACAAAAACTGACACGGTTCTCGGACTGAGCCAAGGAGCATTTATCATGCCTTATTGTTATATACCCCCTCCCTTCTTCCTGTTGTTCCTAAAGCAGCTCAGCCGAGGTTGATCAAAGATAACGATGCACAGTTTAAGTGCCTCTATACCCATTTTCTGCATCCAAACAATTCAACTTTATTAAATTGGCTAATTGAAACCTACCCTAAAGGTAAATCCAAATTTGGCTTTATAGACCTATACCCATAAGAAACCAAAATCTGTTCAGGAAAAAGAAATTAGTTCTGGCAAGGATCTCGAACAACAAATGACCAAAACAAACCCTTTGACAGTTTAAATGTGAGATATCGGGGGACATATATAATTTAATACATGTATTTTAAAAATAAATACAATTCAAAATAGCAATGTCTGTTATTAATTCCACAAAAAATCTTATATGCACGCTCTTCAAAGTAAGATTACAGGAATTAGTAGATCTAATTACACATTTTTCACACAAATAATGCATGACAAAGTATTTCCTTAAATGTTCAAAGCATTATAAACATGAACTTGTAGGAAATAGACAGCAAGAAAACCGGATGAAATGTTCGAACACGTCATTTCTACACATATATAATTGCAAATTGCCCAATTAATTGTAAAGAGTTTCGCATATTTAAGTAAATTCAAACACATGATGTAAAAGTTTTCTATAAATCTTGCAGAATGCAAAAAAAAAACATGCACAGAAACATGTTATGTGCGGGACGCAAGCTTGAAGAAAACGAGATGCGAGGTCTGGTAACCAGGTTATACAACGCGACACTGCACATAGCATATGCAGATATTGTATCGATACACTCGAAAACTGTGTAATGTGTCAACGTCAACATTGATACGGTAATTGCATTCAAAGGAACTGGAGGAAGCTGCTTCACAGTTATCGTTGATGCCTTCCCATTTTTCCACTGCAGTTGCTTGTTCATAATAAATTTCCGGCGATGTTGTGGAGAGAAGATGAGTGTCATTTTGAAGAAGACTGTGTTTCAGTTGCTGATACCTTTTTACTTGCCTTTAACTTGATTCCACAAGAACAAACCCTTACCGAAGGAAAGCAACCAACTTTCCGAAATTCTAGCAGCAGTTTTTCCTTAGTTTTTCTCAGTTGTTCCCTCTCCTTTGACAATTTAATATTTTCCTTTGAGAGAATGTTGATCTTCTGAAAGAGAATATCGAAAAAATAACGCTACCTAGAATACAGTTCCTGAATAATACGAAAATATTGTACCTGTTTTAGTTTCTCTTCGTAATCCTCGGACCTTTTCCTGGAACGTTGTGCTGACTGTCTGTTCTGTCGTCTTCGCTCCTCGATTTTTTGCTTCTCGTACTCAGTGAGCTTCAAATGAGAATCTTTTATTTATATTCACTGAATATGCATGAGACGTTTTACAATAATATCAGATACCAAAAAATATGCCAGTAGTTCAGAATAATACAAGTAAAGTAGTGAACACCTGTACAATAAAGCAATTAGTATTTCAAAACAGAAACGCCAAAGTTAGTCAGGATTTAGCAATTTGTAATCGGTTCTAAAAAGACAAAGAATGAGAGCCAGTAAATGTTCAACACAACATAATTGCATGGATGGTTTATAGCCGCATTAACTCAAGGCACACCACAAGGTCAAACCCGCTCTCTCGGTCGACTTAAAAAAAAATCTTGACCTGAACTTTAGGGATGTAGCGAATTAATTTCTTATTGTGTGATTTGTCATGTTGCTAAATACTTTTATAAAAAGTTCTATTGGTTCTACATTGAAGTATTTAAAAGGATGCTGGGATTCCAATGAGCGCAAAATGTGCTCCTTTCTTGACTCTTATCTACCCTATGTTTTTGTTTTCTGCCATTTTCATAAGCAGATTTCTCTCTGCCCTTAAAAAAAAATCGAAGTTCCTTTTGACAAAGACAAAAAGAAAAATGCAATTTTAAAGAGACACGATGACTGTTTTGTTTTTACTTAATTGAATATCGATTTTACATATTAATACCGTTCTTCTTGAATATCAAGATACGCTTAATTTGCTGGCTGTAGTTGCTTTGGACTCTCATTTTCTTCAATCATTGATTTCCTTTAATCAAATAGGGTGATCTCAGTGTTATTTAAACCCAAAATTTCAAAAGAAATATACAAAGAGTTCGCTACAATTTCTGCACTGTTTAACCAGATAAAACTTTAAAAGTCGGACACATAGATAATGAAATTTATGTCACTGTCACCGCCACCCATTCCACACCGAGTACCGATCATTCTTACTATTCGTGATTTCTACCTCGAAATGATGCTGTTTGGGTTCTTCATAAACAAATTCCTCTTTTCCTTCAGACAGTCGCTTGTAGCGGATCTTAAGACTGAGTTCCTGTTTAACCAAAGGTAAGATGGACTGCTGCTTTTCGCTTTCTTGTACGGCTCTAGTTAGACCTTCTTCCTCTAGATTAAGACCTTTTTGTAAGGTATCGTCAGCAGTTTCTTCTTCATCAATTTTCTGTTTGTTGGATTCCTTGTGGTACTCTTTTTGCATTAATTACATTGCCTTGACACTAAAACAAAAGGAAATATATTTAGTTCGGTTATCAAACACTGTAAAATCACTAATTTAAGTACATCATGAAACATCCAAAGCATCTAAATGGAATCTGCATGACGTGTAGCGGAAATTGATTGTATCAGGTGCCTAGGGATGAGTTATCTTGGACCATTGTGAGCCCTATGTACCGGTATATGATATCAAAAAGACCGAAGGTTCTGAAGTCAAATCTAGCATAAAACAAAGTTCTCAATGATAGGTTACATCTGATAACAATGTCTTAATTTATAATGACAACATGTCTTACAACATGTCTGATATATCCCCAGTGATTCCCTTCCGCTTATTCTGGTGATTTCTCGTATGATCAAGTCAGTGACGAATGTAAAGAGAAGAGAGGAGTACAGTCACCGTTGTTTTACCCCAGTCTTCAGTTTAAATTCTTAAATGTTTGATTCGCAGATAACTTTTAGATTTGTATCCATGTACAGCATCAGCATCTTCCTGATGGAGATGAGTTTTTTCTGGGATCCCATATTGATCCACTGAGATTTTTTTGTAAAGTTAGGCGATAAACACTATCAAAGGCTTGTGAAAAGTCGATAAACATAATGGAAGGTGGATCTATTCTGATATTTGTCAGAGAGTGAATATCTAGTTCGCACATGACCTTCCCTTTCTAAAACCTGATTGTTCTCTCTGCAATAGAAGATTTTCTATGTTTGTTCTATGTTTGTGATTCTGTTAAGTATCACTCTGCTCAGAACTGTTATTGTGACCGAGAGCAGCAGCATCTACATGTATTTATAGTTGCTGCATCTTTGCTAGCCAAGTGCCCAATTTGTTGCTGCAGTTTGAGGGGTCCTCTTTTTAGTAGTTTAATTACAAAGCCAGGGAGGACACCAAGACAGAAAACCACTGGTTCTCCAAGCTAGGGGGTTTGGCAGGAGGTCGACTACCTCCTCCAGGAAAAATCCACAGTTACAGAAACAATGGACATAAAAGAGCAAAAAAAAAAACCGGGTGAAGCGGGCGCCGCCAATAATGGCAGTAAGAAGACGAGGATGAAAGCCTTAGGGCAGCCCAGCGTCCGACTAGATCCCTTGTGATACCCAAACAAACATTCACCATCGGACACTGGAACGTGAGAACAATGTATAGAGGAGGAGCTTCAGCACAGATTGCGAGAGAAATGGAAGGATACCAACTGGGCATTTTAGGAATCAGTGAGTGCAGATGGACAGGAGCTCTGAAGATGAGATTTGCCTCGGGCCAGACCGTCATATACAGCGGGGATGAAGAACTGCATGGGAGGAGTTGCCATAATCATCATCCAGCAGGCAATAAAGTCACTCATGGAATGGACACATGTCAGTAAGAGAATCATGATAGCACGGTTTTATTCAAGATACAGGAGAGTGTCACATAATGAAAAGGAAGCTGAGAATAAAAGACCAATTCTATCAGGAATTACAAGAGACCTTAGGTGGATGTAATAAGAACGACATCTTTATCATGGGGGACCTCATCGCCAAGTTGGGGAGTGACAATAATGGATATGAAAGAACTATGGGTATCCATGGAATGGGAACACAGAACGAGAATGAAGAAAGACTGTGTGAATTAAGTCAGATCAACGGACTTGTAATCACAGGAACACTGTTTCCAAACAAAGACATACACAAAGCAACATGGGTGTCTGCTACTGGAACATTGAGAACCAGATTGACCATCTTCTCATCAGTGGACAGTGGAGATCTTCTGTTCTTGACACCAAAGATCAGAGGGGAGCGGATATCAACAGCGACAATGACCTGGTGAAGACCCAAATAAGGCTACAGCTCAGCACACACAAGAATAAGAACAAGTTGAAACTAAGATTGGATGTAGAATGCCTCAAAACAACGAAGTAAAAGCAAAGTTCAATGACTGTGTGAGAAAGAAATTAAAAGAGCACAGGGAAAAGACTGAAGATATCGAGACAATTTGGGAACAACAAAAGATGGCATATGTGAATTGAGCAAAGGAAGTACTTGGCTACAGGAAAGGCAAAAGTAAACCTTGGATCAGCGAAAACACCTGGAACTTGATAGATGAAAGAAAAGACATCAAGACAAAGATAGAGAGCACAAGATCAGAAAGAGTTAAGACAAGGATAAAGGAAGATTAAAGGAAGAAAGACAAAGCAGTCAAGAAAAGTGCGAGAGAGGACAAAAGGAGATGGATGGCAGAGAAAGCTTGGCAAGCACAGAAAGCAGCCGAGAATGGGAGGCAGAAGGAACTGTACAGCACAATACCCGGTAAAACGGCTGTTAAGAAAGAGTAATAAACAAACAGCAGCGGTGAAGAGCAAAGATGGAGAGCTACTAAAAAACAAAGAAGCGAGGCTTGCCAGATGGAGAGGACATTTTGAGGAAATACTCAACAGAGACACTCCAGAGTCACCACCACAAGATGAACATTATAAGGGAGAAGAGTTAGACATTTCAGTTGAGCTACCCACCATGCAGGAAATAAGGACCGCAGTGAAGACGCTTCGGAATGGGAAGGCAATAGGAATGGAGCAGATAAAAAAAAACTGCAGAAATGTTAAAGGCAGACCTTGATAAGAGCAGCCAGGAATTGAAGCACACCTGGACTGATCTGTAAACTCTCCCCGAAAGGCAACCTACAGGACTGCAGCAACTGCAGGGGAGTCACATTGCTGCCCCTAGCCAGCAAGCACTCAACAGGATCATCATTAACAGAATACAGGCTGGAGTTGACCGCACCCTGAGGAAAGAGCAGGCAGGGTTCCGGAGAGGGAGAGGGATTGTCAAACAGATCTTCATTCTCAGGAACATCCGAGAGCAAGTCAGCGAGTGGAATGCTACACTGTAATCCATTTTATGGACTTTGAGAAAGTCTTCGACTGGGTGCATAGAGACAGCCTTTGGGTCATCATGAAGAAATATGAAATACCCAGCAAACTGATTATGATGGTCAGAGCCCTGTATGACAATTTTCAGTGCCCTGTGATCGATGAAAACGAGACCACAGACCCTTTTCCTGTGATGACTGGTGTCAAACAAGGAGGCTTCTTGTTCCTTCTAGTGATAGACTGGGTGATGCAACAGACTGTCAGAGGAAAGAGAATAGGAATTAGATGGGACTTCACCACTATGCTTGAAGACCTAGACTTTGCAGACGACATTGCCCTACTATTGTCAGCTATGAACCGTCTTCAGTCTAAGACAACAAAACTGGAAGAAAACTCCGCAAAAGTTCGGTTGAAGCTGAATGCCAAAAAGTGCAAAGTGATGTAGATAAATAGCAAGGGTGAAATCAGCCTGACAGTCGGAAGCAGCGAGGCCGATGAGGTGGACAGCTTCACAAACCTCGGCGCCAATGTCACCGAGGATGGAGGAGAAACTGCGGACATCAGGAAGAGGATAGTACTGGCCAGTGCATACTTTAGGAGGCTAGCCAACATCTGGAACACTACAGACATCAGAAGAAAGATGAAAGTCTCCTTATTTAAGAGCCTGGTCCAAATGCCTCAGAAGGATCCTTAAGGTCACATGGCAACAGCATATCTCAAACAAAACAGTTCTGGAGATGGCAGAAGCAGAAAGCGTCAGGTGAGAGGTGAGGAGGAGGAGGTGGAATTGGATCAACCATGCGCTTAGAAAGGATCCCACGGATGACTGTGTTGTGGCCCTCGGGTGGACGCCTGAATGGAGAAGGAAGCAAGGTTGCCCCAAAACAACATGGCGACGGATGGTGGAGGTGGAGCGAAACAATGCTGGCTGGAAATCCTGGAACACGGCACGCCGTGCAGTCTCAGACCGACCCCAGTGAAAAAGAGATGTTCAGGCCTTGTGTGCCTCCTGGCACAGAGAGAATTAAGGTTAAGTCCTTTCCCCACAAAGTTGATGTCTTCTGATTCGACATCTGTAGAATATTTTTCAAGATGGTAGGTGTCCAGTGTTCTTCAGCCAAAAGAGACTGATCTTGAGGTTCGTTATACCTTAAACACTTGGTGGATATGTATCAATGTAATGTACAGTGAAATCATAAATTTTCGTTGGGGGTTAATTTTCGTTGTTTTCGAGGTATGAAGAGACCCACGAATTCATGTCTACCACGGAACGTAAAATGTTACATACACAACTACGCAACAATTCTACATCCAAGAAATCAAATCCCCACAAACCAAGAGTTTTTCCTCAAACCACGAAAATTTGACCCCTCGAAAATATTTGATTTTACAGTATTTATCTGACCGATGTTATCAAGACTTCGTTTTCTGTGTCATAAAATGCTTAAATGTTTCCATATCATTTTCATCTGAGCATTTCTTGAGAAGCGAAAACTTATTTTGAGCATTTAATTGAAAAAATCTCATTACTTTTTGTCTTTTTAGCTTTTGAATGCTAATATTGGTGGTGGTATTCGATTTTTTTCTCCTTGATTTGGTTTTCATTCAATTTAACTTGAACTTATGAGTGGTCATTTCCCACATCAGTTCCTTGTTTTTCAATTAACCTCTTCCAAGAGGCTATTCGCCATTTCTTGTTTACAATGAAAATCATGGTCAATTTGATTTTACGTATGACCATCATAGGGTTCCATGTTGCCTTATGGATGACTACGCGCTTAAATATTGTCCCACCAGTTATTAATTTGTTTTCTTGAAAGAAAGTGCACAACCTCTCCCTATTGCTACATTCTCCTAATTCTTTACTTGCTCATCCATGATGTTTTCTTTTCTTTGGAAAACAACTACCTATATACCTACCTACATGTACTCAACATGAAAAATGTGGGTAGGAGTGCATGAAACAAATATATTTTAATGACTGGCTTTCTTATCTTCTTCATCAAAGTAACTTGCAGTTGGTGCAAACTACAGTTATTTTGACAAAAAAATGAGTTGAATCTAGCTGATATCATTTGTTCACTCATAGTTTTCCATTCTAACATACTTCTGTGAATTTTTGTTGTGTTTATTGCTACTCCTCTACTATGATGTTCATCAGTTCTCCCAGGGTAGAGTTTTTGATGTCCTGAAACTACCGGTATTTGTTTTGACCCCTTACCTGTCCATCTAGTATCTAGCTCGATCTTGTAATGCTCCATTTCTCTCACCACGTGTGCTAGTTTTTTTGTTTTCTTGAGGGCCCGCATGTCACAGCACCCAACTCTACGTGTTAGGCCTATTTTTGATAGAATGACATCTATCAGGTTGAGAAATTCGCTCGTCATACTATCAGCACCATGTGTGGTATCAGTCTTCCATATCAATCGTCCACCATTTTGTTCTCGTGTTCAGGTTTCTGTAGCTGCATTGTTATCTTAGGGAAGGACAATCCTGACAGAAAACCACTGGTACTCCTCGATCAGGGGGTTATGTATAGGACCAACAACGCTAACATGTCAAACAATGCAGAATGGAAGTAATTACGTGAATTATAAAACCTAATGTTGACGCCGCAGCAGGTGTTTTCTTCTCGTGTAGAAGTTTTTGAATAATTCTTGGTTTTACAAAAAGCACATGCTCATTTTGAAGAATAGTACGTGTTCATTTGAAGTTCATTTGATTTAATACCATGTGGCACAAAGCGTGAGGAGATTATCCTGACGTTGCGGATTTGAGTCTCATTGAAGGACCGTTTTTTTTCGGATAATACCGGATTCTGTGTCAATCCTGGCACCGAAGAGATCCCCCACTTTTCTGAATATTCTTAGTCTCGCGATGTCCAAATGACACTGTACGTAACCTTATATGTGCTTGATATGTTGATGATATTCCAAAATAATTTCATATGGTGTGTGTGCGATTTTGACATTTCGTGATTTCGAAATGACACTGTATGTAACTTTTTGCATGTTGCATGGTGTGTTGTGGACACGTGTATAGGATCGTTGGAGGTTAGTTGCAGGGTGGTGGGGTGGGGTGGTACCCTTCCCACTTTTCCATCAAATATAATATTTTATTTCTAACTCCCCTCCCCCGCAGTTGAAAAGTGGGAGGGTATATCTACAGTGATTAGGATGTCCGTCCGTCTGTCTGTACATTCGTCCGCTCGTGTGTTACGCAATGGAGTACCCATCTCTTATCCACAACTCCTCTTTTACCACTGAAATTAAACGAGACCTTCACTAGAATCTTTGTTACATAATGCCATTGTGCACATTCTATTTTACTTTTTGATCCGACACATAATTAAATGTGTTTATAAAAAGGATGGTTGTCTCCCCCTTTTGTTGCATCACAGATAATCTTGGTAATGTATTTGAAAAATTGGTAACTCCATTCCTGCTTCCCCATCCTGAAATCGAGTTTGGAGACGATACTATGTCCCTGTATTGATATGAAGACGTTGTCTCTTTTACTATAAATTTTGAGGTATATTCGTTTACTGGCAATGTCTCATAGCTAGAGGATTTTTGGGGGTCTGCTAACCTGTTAAAGCTTCGTCTTAGTTTGAGTGACAGGTAGAGGCAACATAAGCAATGCATATGTAAAATATATATGTAGCCATGCACAGTGTATATGTAACAGGCACGGGATCTAGAATTTTATTAAATGGGGGGGGGGGGGGGTGAAGAGGAAAAAAGAATTGTTAAAACGTACGTTTAAATACGTTTAATTTAGAAAACATGACCGTATATATTACCGTTTTTAAAAGTGGAATGGGGCGGTCAGGGGGAATATATATGGATTTTCTGTAAAATTTTCTCCGAAAAAAGGAATCTAAACCACAGAACTTGAAAATCCTTATTTGTACGGGGGGGATTTTCTTTTTACAACAGATATTATTCATACATAACTACATTAGCATTACACTAAACCCCCGTAACCCACTCTGGATCCGCCTATGTGTATTTCTAAATTAGGCGCATCACAATGTGTCTATTTTTAAATTCGGGAATTCCGTTGATATTTATAACCTGTAAACATATTTCTTCAATACATCTGTAAATGTATTCATCATTTAATAAGAAACACATTCAATGAAAAATAAAAATGTCTTAACATTGTGACTGATTATCTGTTTTGTACATCTGAAACAAAAAAAAGAAAGAAAGAAAAATCAAATGCCCCCACTGCAGTTATATTTGTGTAGATGATTCATCGAATTATTTTTAAAAATTCAAGCAGTCTCAAGTTTTTGCAAGAAAAATTCAATAACATTCTTTGCATTGTTAAGTTCAGTTGTCTAAAATTTCTTGCATAATAAAGTATTTTTATGTCCAATTTTACCTAAAAGTGGTAATTCCAATGAATAGACCAACCGATCCGTTTGGAAATCACCGAGGTTAAAAAAAGAAACACGTAAGCGCTGCAAAAATTAGGTCAGAGTTCAGTGACTGTAATTTCGTAGGAACAAAATTTCGATGTCGGGTAAAAAATATATTTATTTTAAAAAAAAAATAATTATTTCAAAAAAAACTGCTAAAAAAATTGTATTGTAGGCACTAAAATATATAACGTTAAAAGCATTCCAATAAAATATTTCAGCTTATAATAAAGCCTTTGGCCTATATGCTTATATTAAAAACTTGAAAACAATGTAGAAATCAAAAAAGTGTAATTTTTGATTAAATAAAATATTATTTTCTTAAATTCAAAAAGTCAACAGGACAGCCGAAAATCTCAGTGGAGACAAGCTGTTACCCTATCAATTTATATTTAAAGTAAGAACACATGGAGTTTTTAATTAACTCAGTGTATTTTTGCCCCTGTAATCGGAAGATTCGGGGTATCTACTTTTTGCCCTACCGGTTCGTCTGTCTGTTTACTAGTATCTGTTTAACCCTCATATTTTTGTGACAAGGCCTTTCTTTTGGGTACCAACAAACAGAATGTATTTGACTTCTTGACCTTGGAGTTTGACCAAAGGAAAAATGGAAAGGTCTAATAAATACACGTGTGAAGTATGAAAGCTCTAAAAGTTATGGCCAAGGTTCTAGTTGCGTAAATGCTTGCAAAATTAGGTTAAACTCCAAGAGAGCCATATCTCCAACCATATTAAGAGTTATGTAGAATGTACAAGTTGGAAAGACAGACGGATTGACAGGGTCAAAACCATTTAACTCTTTCAATGGTGCAAATCTAGTTGGGGGGGGGGGCTACCCTCCCATTTCCAACTGTAACATTTAAAATTAAAATGTTCCTTGAAAGGCTGTTGAAATTTGGATGTGAAAAAAGCCCCTCCTCTCCTTGATAAAAGGATTATTGAAATTTAAAGGTTTTTAATAAATATAAATACATCTTTGTACAACACTCATTTCCTACAGTTTATATGAGCTCCAGCCTGCCAGAGCTCATGTTTTTAAAATTGAATGTTAACAATGTTGTGTTCACAAATTTAGCTTTAACAGCCATTTCCACCAGTTCTATAAAGGACAACAGTTTGCTTGAAATGCACTTTATTCATCTTTCATGAGTATTGCACCTTTTTACATTCACATATTCATATGTTAACTAAACTAAAGTCTCTTGAAAGACAATGATAGGATGAAATATAAAAATAAATATTTGGCATATTTAACAACCTTAAATAGTGTTAAGTCTATAAATTCCCTGATTAGTCAGTCCGCTGGGCCTTTATCCACCAGTTTACTGAGTAATATTGACTTAACTTGTCCAAATGGAACAGAACTAGGGGAGAAAACTTCAGCCGCATTCCAAGTGTCACGAGGGGAGATAAGCTGTGTTACTGAGGTAAAGCTAAAAGTAGATATAAAATTCAGAAGAGTTTAAGAGGACTTGAATGGTTAGAGTGCTACCAAATTTTATATTACAATTAGATACTCACCTTTTGATATTTGGCATTAATGAAAATGTTCTCACAATGTAATCTGTTAAAATATTCTCCTGAAAATAAATTTCAATACACTATGAAATGTTATAGCACAGTTGATTTCCCAACCTTTCCCTTCAAATCCAATTTGATTTCATCTAAATAATTTTCTTGATTAAACCATTGATTTTAAATCTAAAATAATAAGAAAACAAAATAAATTTTCTTGATTAAACCGATAATGTTGTACCTTGTTGATTCTGTCGAGGAGTCGGTGGAAGAGTTTGAAGTGAAGCGGTGAGTTGTCGTTATAATCCCCGAGTAGATATACGGTGAAGTAAATACAGTTCTCTTGTTTGCTGAATAAAAAAAAAATCAATTGGAGAACTGTATTTGTACAGACGGCTTCATATTTTAGTGGCTATGGACAAGAATGCACTAATTTATATAATGATCCAAAACTGGAATTTCTTCATAATTTATTTATTTTTAAGTGGAATTGGTTGAAAATTACAAATGAAAATATAGACACTTGATGAATATTTTAAATTGAAAAACATTTAAAATATCTTTGATAGTAACTCTGGCAGTTGCCCGTTGTGGAAATGTCATTAACCGTTTGTTGTTTAAATAATACGTGAAATGAGAATTAAACCGTCCTATGTGGTATATAAATCCAAAATTATGTCAGACGATGATCTTTTATAAATGAAGAGATATTTGTTTATAAGTTGATGATTTATTGTTCATCTTTAAGTTGTTAGACTACATCAAATTTCGGTCAAGTCATACGTTTTGTAAAAATCCCGGGATCACTCTATCTTAAACGCATATATTATTGACATAGGCTTGGGAAAAATGCATTTAACTACAGTGTGGCTGTGATCCATGGACGTTGATTAAAGGCTTCCAAGGCCTGTTTTGCTTATAGACATATTAAAGCATTAATGGACGTTGCCGGTTTCTCTTGACATTGTTACTGAAATTGGAACAGAATGGAAAGATGGGTAGTATTTTGATATATGAGTTAAAAATGAAGATAAGTTGGTGAGATAATTACTGTATTAGAAATATGTAGTCAAATTGGACATTAAAGACGCGACGTGGCATATACAACTTTACATATCCCCCGGGTTTCACAACAATGGCTTGTGACCTTAATGGTTATTGGAAAGTGATGAATTGTTGCATTATGCACTAAGAATATGCCTGTTGTTTGCTTTCATCTAATCACTATAAAATTTTACGAAGAAATTCCACGAACTTTTGGATCAACCCTCGTACTGCTAAGAAATCATTTACTAATACAAAACAAGGCAAGAACAAGTGTAGCGCTAATTCATGATTACCCTAACAACTCTATACCCCTTGATTCCACTAAATTTTGAATACATGAATTCACATACACATACAGTAAAATGTTATGTTGCATTTTGAATTAAAATGTGAATCAGCTCTGGTAAAAAACAAATTAATGCTAGACAAAGTGATTTTTATGGCTGAAGAAAGGAATAACACAGACCATATATTTCATTAATGGACTCGTGAAGAATTGCACACAGTTTCTGTGATAGAGGGAGACTACTCCATATAAGCTTACTACTTTGAAGATTGATATCAGAACTACATGTATTTTCACACAGGGACTGATTTAATTTTTTATTTGTAAAATTCTATATAACCCACCTGGCTAGAAGCAGTGAGACAAATGCCTTGGCTGATTCAGGGGAGGTAACTGCTTCTTCTACGTCCTGTACACAACTCACAGCTCGCTCATAATACTGAATCTGGTTAATTAAGAAGTCAAGTTAGAGATGGCTGATTATGTTCAAAACTTCCTAAGACATCTTATTTTTTGATATCAAAAGAGCTTAAGAATGCTGGCACATTATTCTGTTATACATCAATCTTTTTTCTATAAATCATAAATAATTTTTATTAAGACGCTAAATGTGATGTATTTCAGAAACCCTTGAACAGTTTTAAAAGATGATTAACCTAACTGTGCATAAGAAACTTGAAATTACAAGAAAAATAGCTTGTACATACAGCTTGTCGTTTTCTAATAAATGCAGACACTCCCACTTTTTGGTCATTGATCATTTGGCATATTTTCACAAACTGCATCTACAAAATGGATTAATACATGTAATAAGAATTAATAGATAACCAAGAATTAAAAGATAACCAGGAAGTCAACTCTTATCTTTTAAATAAAATTTTATTAACTTCAGACCTGTTTACCCGTATCAATGTCTCTCAGTATATTTGATTAGATTTGTCCGTGAGATTAAGCATTTGCCAGTAAGATTTCACTTTCCATCAATTTTACATATATAAATGGAGAACAACTGCTTTTCTGATTACTAAAACATGGTTTAATAACATGGTCATGATCATTTTATACCATGGCGTTTTGGCAAACCGACATAACTGTGTTTGAAATCTTTTTTTAGCATTAAAAAGCATGAAACTGAGATAGTTCATAACGAAAGCTAACTTCTCAGTTTTAAACAAATGTACTTCTTATTTCCCTAAAAATCCGTACAAAATACGGCGAAATCGTAAGAGTAAACAGATCTGTAACTTTGTTTTGGATCAAATTATTAGTATTTTCTACTCTGTTTTATTTGAGGCAACTACATTACCAGGATATTAAGTCAGAAAATGATTGCAGCCGGTGTTTACATAAAATAGAAGCATTAACTTTTTATTAAAATATAAAAATCACTTTTGAAAATTCAAATATTTGATACATTTTTGAAATACATAAATCATAATCCCAGACTTTTCATATATTATGAAAATACAATGTACACCAGAAGTAAAAATATTTGGAGAATACTTGTCTGTTTTATTTTGAAAATTCAAATATTTGATACATTTTTGAAATACACAAATAATCATCCCAGACTTTTCATAGATTATGAAAATATAATGTATGCCAGAAGTAAAAATATTTGGAGAATACTTGTCTGTTTTATTATCTACACAAACAAGGAAGAATTTTAAATTAAATCTGTACCAGTTTGTTTGGTTGAAGCTTGTACAGCAGACGACAGATGTGTTCAAACATGGGCACGGCGACATCGCTACTGACAGGACTGAGCGACGTATCGGGAGCCAGGATACACTGCCAGCGCTGGATCTGGGCCGTACTGATGTCACCTACAAGGTCAGAGATCCAGCAGTCTTAAAAACCCTAAACACTGGGATTACTTTCAACTTTTTGATATTATATGTGATAAAGATGGTATCACATAGTAATGCTATCATCAACTCAATTACAACAATTATTACAAGTCAACATCCTGTAATACTAATTTAATTTTTTAATTTGACCTATCATGTTATTTGCCATTTCAATCCCACTACAAACCTGTGTGAAACTCCATCTGTGATTCTAGGACAGCGAGGACTTGTTTAGGGTGTGAGTGGGCCAGTGAGAGGAGGCGGGCGTGACGACCAGACATGGGGATACTGGACTTAGGGTCCAACACGTGAAGAACTTCCTCATCTACAGAGGCGGGGCATGCTGACCTGGAGGGCTGTCAATCACAAAATACACAGATTATACACAGTACACAATCTCCAGACTTCTTGTCCTGCTTATTTTTCGGATAAATTTCGATTCATTTCCACTTGCAAATCTTGCCCTTCCCTTCAAATTTTCATGGAAAATTCTAACTTTAACAATTCAGATAAACATAGAGGAAAAACAGGTGATATGTTTACAATTGCCATGTAAATGTCAGCTCACATAGTTTTTTTCATAAATGAGAAAGACTGCAATCTCTGTCAATATGAAGACAAAATTTGTACTCAAGCATTGTTTCTATATGACGGTAGTAAATCTCTAATCTAAATACATGTAAATCAAAATCATTACCTGAAATGCTTTAGTTGGAATTTTCTCAATCTTCCAATATTCATCTAAATATGGTTCTGTTAAGAAAAATATACTTTAATTTATTACACTCATTGTAACTATAAAGCATACTTATTTCTTTAAAACTTTTGAATTACTATTGCAAAACTAGTAAAAAACAAACATTTTAAATAATGATGAAATAATGAGATATAATATGCCCACATGACAGCCCCTTGTTTCTGCAGCGGACACAATGATTAAGTTCTTACCTACGATTTCTGCAAGTTTTGTGGCAGGTTTCTGATCTTTTGTTTTTGTCCAGGTCTGCTGTAATTCTGATAACTTTTTCTGAACACTTGTAGAGGGATGCTCTGCTTTCTCCTGAAAAACAAAAATATTGAATAATGCTATGAAAATTGTATTGATATGCATGATTAACAGGTTTGTGATGCCAATAAATATAGAATAAACTAAGCATATTGATATAATTTTGTTCTCAGACCAAAGTTACTGAAAAGGAGCTTGTGGAGACTGATATTTCATATATACCTGTATATTTATAAGGATTTACAGTAAAACTCAGATATAAGGAAGTCACTGGGACCTATGAAATTACTTCGCTACATGTATATCCATAATTCGTTATAACCGTATGAGAAAGTCATTAAAGTTTTATTAGCTGGGGATCCAAGATGACCTCGCTATAACCGTAAATTCGCAATATCCATGTTCGTACTAAATGAGTTTTGCTGTATAAGTTTAAATTCATAATAAATACCTGTTCTAGGTGAGCTATCTGAAGTGCTGTTGTTTGAAAATCCTCCGCTGACAAAGTTGTGGTTAAGTCCCACTCGTCCTTCCTTCTCTGTTTCTGATGAAAATTGGATACAAATTTATAGATGCATCACTTTTGTTTTGATCTTTATCAATTCATTTTCTTAAGGTTCATTGATACTCTGATAAAAGAGATAACTCTTAATGACATAAATGTCTTTTATTCCTTTATAAATTTTCCAAGTTGAAGTGTCTTTTTTGTCCACTATTGCCCAGCAAGCCATCCTAAAATTGTCTGTATTTTAAATATACATGTATAATTCATTTCTTTTGGAAAATCATTAAGGTTCAAGCAACATTTTAAATGAGTGAACAGAGGGTTTCTGAACATTTCTTAATCACCAAAATAAAGTCAGCTCTACACATATGGCATGAAAAAAATGTTGTTTTTTAATTGTGTAAGAAGGATAATGAGACAGACAGGGTTCAATCTATACACATGTACCCCTTTAATCAAAGAGACAAAATAAGTTCTAAAACTCTAATTCTAAGAATTATTGTGTAATGTATAAAAACAATGTATACACACATGCCAATTTTCCCAATTTACATGTAAATAAATGCACATAAAGAGATAAATTAAGCAGTGTTTTACCATGAATAAGTATAAATTGTTTTTACCATGAGTAAGTATAAATTATTTTTACCATGAGTAAGTATAAATTGTTTTTACCATGAGTAAGTATAAATTGTTTTTACCATGAGTAAGTATAAATTGTTTTCTGTATATACAGCAGGGGTTACTGTCGCAGGGCTACCACAGCAAACACCCTCAAAATCAGCTCCCTCTGGTGGCATGATGGTGTCGACCAATCTCCCAGATGTCAGGTCAAACAACCTAACAAAGATATTTCAAAACATAATATTTCTGTGTTAGTGTAAATGATGATATTTACTTTTGCTGAAAAATGCCTAGAGGAACCTAAACTCTCAAGTTAAGTTAATTAAGCTGATCCCCTGTCTGTCTTTAAATATATACAGAAAACAATAGTGGATCTGAGATAGAGCACCTGACTAGTGATACAAGGTCCCTGATTTTTGATAACCAGTCCAGTCATATACTGTCTTTATTCATTCCTTTTTTCCTACTATACCAGTATCCCACAGTTGGTTTCTATAATACTTGCAAACCATTATTTTCCACAAAGAATTCTTATAAACCCTTCTCAGTCTTTCTAGGTATCCTGTACTAAAGCTATACAGACCTTGTATCACTAGTCAATTGCTCTATCTACTTAGCTACCCAGGCTAATATTCACAGTCCATGTAGCTTCTACTACATGTATCTCAGTATTCTCAAGTTTAAAAGAAAGCTTTGAACCATTGTAATAACTACATTTTTTAAAAATGAAATGTCAAGGTCAAACTTACAGAAGACTAGATTTACTCAGAAATCCCAGGTGTCCCTGATAACTAAACCATGTGCCCTCTTCCAGATTTCCCGTGTGAATGTCAAGTTTGATCTCTGCCAACTCTTCTGAAATCAGATTTTTTTAAGCTTAGAAAATGAACAATCAAAGACTACTTCACTTACAACAAAGACTAACTTACAGAGAACTTGTTTCAAAAATCAATGTACATTAAGCATCTCAATAAGTATGATATATGAAATCAGGCATTTAATATTCATTATCTATTTTAATCTGAAAACAGACCCATATGGACAAGCAATTTTTTCTGAAAATACTAACTCAATATACAATACCTTACAATACAAGTCAGAATCTTGTGTTTCTCTTTGCCAAACTTATAGCGGATCTGAGGCAGAAATTCATTTTGTTTTTACCAATTTACTTTATCTTGTCGGTTAAAAAAATCCTATCACATCACAGTATAGAATCTCTTTCATCAAGTATGAATCTATTTATAATGCTTCAATTTGTTTTCTTATGCAAAGAATTTACCGCAATCATTTCTAATGATCTTGACTTTGTCAATGGCACATGTTGTACACGTATATGTACATATTATCTAATTTTTATGGGGATAAAAAAAACTGCAAAGAATTTAAGCTTGGTGTGATTTTGTCCTTATTATCTAATACATAGGCCTATATATTAGAAATCAGACTAGTTTCCCTAATTCTCCTTGGTAATCTAAAAGTGTAATGTCCTGCCTACCTTTTTCATCAGAGAGTTTTCTGACAATGCTGCCATCCTCAATAACAGATAACTCCATCTTCTGAGAATTGTATGCATATCCTATCATTCTGTATTTATCCCTGACCTACATTATTAATAAAATAGTTTTGAAATCATGCAATAACTGAAAAATCTTTACAGTGATGTGCTCTTGATTTTTTTTTTTTGATTATCTGTAATGGAAGTATTAAGACACCACTACGGGGGGTATGTACCAACCTGAATACTGATGTTAATGAACTTGAATCCCAGTGATGTGAAATCAAAGGCTTGTGTTGAGCTGGGGTCTTCCACTGACAACTTATAGGGACCCGAATACATGGTGACCACGTTAGTAGACTGATTCCACAAAATCACCATTGAAACCAAAGGGGGCCTACTTCTGCAATGACAAGAAACAATACAATAAAAGTACATTTTTTTTTTACTTTTCCACATTAAAATTTATAACATCCTAGATATTATATCATTCTTTATGAGATTTTTAATCAATGACTAAGTGGTCTCTAGACACTATCTTTGCTATCTTACTTGATAATGATGCCCACGCCCTGTTGTATTGGACACAGCTGACAGAGACAGATGTTGTGCATGATGGCTTCTACCGGACCTAGCTCCTGTTCTGACAGATTCTCTGCATCTGTAGGATTGATAATAACATTGGTACTTGATGTTTAATTCATTTCTTTAATTCTATACAGTTATTGTTATAATTGTAAAGATTTTTTTATCAACACAAGAAAATGGTTAAAATGTCAAGGATCTGTGATAAAAATTTAATTGTATTTGATACAATACTTATAAATTCACTTATGCAAGCCATTTTCTTAATTGATTCTGCACGGCGAAAATAAATGTATCTTTATCTGTATATTACAGAAAAAACAATCACCACTGGGAACTTTTCTCCTACATATACAATATATAGAGTGGTCTGAGGAGGAGGTAACTCTCTTTTCACACCAGTAGAGTGCACTGTATAGAGGATGAAAACACACACTGGATACCTCTGACCTATTGCTGTTGCATATATTAAATTCCTGTTCTAAAATCCAAGTTCTGTCAGCTCTAAATTTCCAACACTGTACAAAACCATTGTGCTGAACCTACAAAGTGAATTATTAGTTTTGTAAATCTGCAAACACTAAATATTTCTCTCAACATTATTCAAAAGAAAATCATTTTTTTTTTGTTAGGATGGAGAAGGTTATTTTATACTTACAATATAAACACACTGTCTCAAGTCAGATGGTAAGATATCAAGGATTGGATGATCTAAGTTCTGTATATCCAGGCATCCTTTGTTTTCATCCTTGCAAAATTAAGAGTAAAATTCATGAAGAGCAAATTAACACACAGTTTTTTTTCTGCACCATGCAAAAATATGACAGTCTTTGCAAATACATGCTAAACTTCTTTTAGCTTTTGTGCCGATTTTTTTCTTAGAAGTTACAAACCACTAATTTTTTTACCAACTTTGTTCTGATTTTAGTATAAACAAAAAGATCATAATTTGTATGAATTAAAAATTATACAAAATTACATTATTTGATATTCTAGTTCAATTTCACCTGAGTTTTCAAAAACATTTAATTTGGTTTAGATAATGATTAAAGTTACTGTTAACTTTCCACTGAACCTATATATTTTTTAACCAGCTTGAAGAAATGAAACAAAATAAACTTTTCCATTCAGCAAGATGACATAAATAAATCTCCGATTTTTATCAAAGATTTAATATTCCTTTTGCAAATCAAACTATGACTACATCATGTACATCTCTTTCTAAGCATGATTATTAATTTGCAACAATGTCTTATAAAACTGATAAATTCTCACAAAAATTGTAATGTAGCCAGTGAATAATATTGCATTATACCTGTGTTGTACTTTTTGTGTCGAATGTGAAGAGTTGCCTCCCATCCCTTACAGATACAAACACGTGTCCCGGGCTGAGCCACACTCTGAACACTGGTCCATACTTCTCTTTACAAACCACTTCTCTATACAACTAATAAAAGAACAAAAAAATTGCAATTATTTCTACCTAAAAACAGATCTAATCAGGATATAAAACATTTTCTTTACATTTTGTAATTCAAAAGTACGTGTATATTCATTAGTTTCAATATTTACTGACAAAAACCGCACATGGTGTAAATCATATGGACAAAAATTTGAAGGTTTTTTGAAACTTCAAGAATGCACAACATCATTAAAAAATATGAAAAACAAAAAATCCCCAGGGTCAGATGGGTTTACAGTGGAATTTTACAAATTTTTCTGGAAAGATATAGGTATTTTTGTTATGAAATCTTTAAATGAAGGGTATATAACTGGAAAACTTTCACATTTTCAATCTCAGGGGGTAATTACATGCATTCCAAAAGAGGAAAAGGATAGAAGATATATGAAAAATTAGAGACCTATTTCATTGTTAAATGTAGATTACAAAATTGGTTCTAGTACCATAGCAAACCGCATTAAGAATGTGTTGTCCAGTATTATAAGTGATACCCAAAAAGGTTTTATAAAAGGGCGTTTCATAGGTGAAAACACCAGGTTTTTATATGACTTAATAGACTACCTTAAAGATAAAAAACAATTTGGTTTGCTCCTTTTATTAGATTTCGAAAAAGCTTTTGATTCTTTAGAATGGGATTTTATTGTTAAAGCATTAAAGTCTTTTAATTTTGGAGATTCCTTAGTTAAATGGTTTAAAACCTTTTACTCAACCAGCACAAGCTGCGTGATAAATAATGGAAACTTATCCTCCTTTTTTAATCTTGAACGTGGATGTAGACAGGGAGACCCTTTGGCACCATACATTTTTATCATTACTGTAGAACTACTTGCAATCTCACTGAAGAATAATGAAAACATAAAAGGTATATCGATTAATGGGAAAGAAAACAAACTAGGACAATATGCAGATGACTCTTTTTTAACATTAGATGGAAGTGAAAAGTCTTTGAGAGAATCATGAAAATAACACAAATTTGGAAATGCTTCTGGTTTGAAGCTTAATATTTCAAAATCTCAAGCAGTATGGTTGGGAAGCAAGGCAGGATCAAAACAAACTCTATGTGATGACTTAAAAATTAATTGGAGTGCTGATACCTTTAAGCTCTTAGGAATAATTTTCACAAAAAACTTAGAAAATATTGTGTCTGTCAATTATCGACCCAAAATAAATTCTATAAAAAAATTGCTTGCATCATGGGCGAAAAGAGATTTGACCCCAATAGGAAAGATTACAGTCATTAAAACCCTTGTTATTCCAAAATTTGTACACCTATTCTCAGCTCTTCCAAATCCATCAAAGGAATTAATTAATGAGATCAATAAAATTTAATTTCAATTTATTTGGGCATACAAGGTGGAAAAAGTAAAAAGAAATACATTGATAGGAAAAATTGAAGAAGGTGGACTAAACATGATCCATTTATCCTCCTTCATTTCATACATAAAACTTAAATGGGTTAAGAGAGTCCTTACAGACAACAGTGGAGCATGGCAGCAATTATTATCCTGTATTTTTAATCAAAAAGATTTTAACGTTGTTTTTTATTTAACCAAAGGAAAACTCTCAGAATTTTTGAATCATATAGGTAATGATTTTTGGAAAGATGTTATAAAAGCTCTTATAATTGTTAAAAAAGATTGTTTGAGTGCTACAGATTATTTATATACTGATATTAGAAATTTTGTTGATATCAAAAAATGGAGTTTTTACAAGACTTGGGTAGAAAAAGGTTTTAAAGTATTGAAAGACTTGTTGTCGGATGATGGAAAATTTAGGTGTTTTAATGATGTTAAAAAAATAGTTGGTACTAATAATTTTTTAAACTATTTTAACATTGTATCAAGAGTACCAACAAGAGTCAAAAGGGAAATAACTGTTTATATGACAGAAAGAGGCAATCAATTTGCAGCACCAGAGAAATGTGTTATACAAAAAATGATGTCCGTGACAAGTATAAAATTTCTGTATAAAATTATAAAAGATAAGAATTTTGTGGCACCAGAATCCAAAAAGTTAAAATGGGAGATTTATTTAAATGAACCTATTACAGAAAAACACTGGGAATTTTTCCTTCGGAATGCTTCAATTTGTACAAAGGACACCAAAATAATTTACTTTCAATATAGAATTCTTATGGGCTTCCTTGCCAAAAATTCTTTTCTTCACAAGATAAAAATTGCAGAAAACAATTTTTGTTCTTTCTGTAAAACAGATCCAGAAACATTGATTCATCTTTTTTATGATTGTAAACATGTAACTATTTTTTGGAAAGGTTTTGAAAATTGGTATCAAGCATTTGAAAATGATTATGTAATTTCAAAACAAAAGGTGATGCTGGGTAATATTGAAGGAAGTTGTTTAGAAAATTTTCTCATCTTGTTAGGAAAAAAGTATTTGTATTACTCAAGAACTCAATGTACTATACCTAAATTTACAGAAGCTGTTAACATTTTTAAGTATTACAGGAAAATTGAAAAATATTGTGAGAGCAATTTTCATTGTAGAACTAAAATGTTTAGTAAATGGGCAATGTTTGATTTGATTTGTCATACATAATTTCAGTTACCACTTAAGGTGTAATTATGAAAGCTGGTATTTTGGGAAAGGTGCACAGAGTGCATGTGGTGTGTGAGGGTGTGTTTGTGTGTGTATTTTGTTTCTTTTGTAAGTATGAAAATATTCAAAAATAAAGCATTAAAAAAAAAAAAAATCATGTACATGTATAAAGTATACCAATATGGACAAAAATTTTCCTAGATATGAAATAATTTTATAAGATATACATTTATAGTTAACAAGAGACATTTGTGAAACAATTATGCCTCCCCTCTCTTCCTGCTTCTAAGTCCAAGGGGCATAACTGTCAAAAATTGCTAAATTGTACCAAAAACAAATCGACCTAGATATTCTTATGATGAATCTGTATTCCATATTTCAATTCAGTATGTGCAACCTCTGCAAAGAAAATGAAGAGAAACTGCAAATAATTGGAATTTTTCTGAGTCCAAGGGGCATAACTATGTCAAAAATACAAGATCATGACAATGTATTTATCTTTCATCCCTTGTTGAAGCCAATCTTGTCCACAGGCCTTGTCCTCCCAGGTCCTCTTAATTCCAATTTTTCACCTGGACCATGACATGGTTCTCTGTTTTATTACTCTCCAGCTTCTTCTGCCTGCTACACCTCTGCTGTTGTGTCCACTATATCTTCTTTTTTGCATGATATAACACTTGGCTGGATGACCATTTCCTTCCATTTTCATTTTAATATTCCTTCTTTTTTGAACTCCTAAGTTTTTAGTCTCTCTGGGTGAGAACTGGCATGGTTTTTGCCATCTGAAATTTTCTACAAGGGATGATATTGGGAACTAGAGTTTGGAAGAGGAACTGTACATTCTAGACTTGTGAAACTTGATTAGACATCTAACCATCTGCACAAAAAATTGAGATCTATCTAGTGCCTCTACTATTATGCTGGGATCTTCACAGAGGGCAATGGTAATTGGGCATAGATGCCTAGGCAGTAGTCCAAGTTCATACACTCTGGCCTTAAATTTTGCTAGTATCAGTCTTGTCAATGTTCAACAGCACAGCTTTTCCAACCAGTTGTTTGCTATTTCCTCAAGCTTTCAAGTCCATCAAACCATTTTCACAGACACTTAACAGGCTTGTCCACAATAGATGTCATTTCCTTGCCTTGTACCTTCACTGTAAACTTCTTTGTGACTTTACTCTTCTTTATAATTTAGTCTCTTGATATCTTGCAATAAGAACACTTGACTTTAGACTGATAATTATCCCTCAATTTTTTTCTTCGCTATTTATAATGTCTCTTTAAACTACAGTTGACCCTTAATCTCTCAAAGTTAAAGGGACCTCAAAAAAAAGTTCTTGAGAAAGAGAGGTTCCAGAGGTTGAAAGGCAAAAGGAATCCATAATTTTCATATTTAAAAAAAATATACTGCTCAAGAAAATTGGACTTTTCCAGTTAAAACTTCAGTAAATTTACATGTCTTTCTATTCATTGTATAGGTAATAAATCAAATCAAAGTGGTTAATTTTCTTTCTTTTTTTCACAAAAAAATGAATACGGCGGGCAGAAGACCACTATACATCCCGCTCAGTAACAATAAAGCAGGGCTCGACATTAACTTTTTTCCCAACTTGTCCATTCGGACAAGTGACCAAGATATTTAGATATTTACTTGTCCGAAAATATTTCAATGAATATCTTATTCTATCAACTTGAAAACAATTACTTAAATTGAAAAAATAAACGTGCTTGATTTATTAGTTTTGTTATTGATAAATAAGACGAACACATATAAAACAAAATTTTATCTAGACTTCCTGTCCTGACAACAACATAAATGTTCGCAAGTGAATCTGTAATATCAATCAAATATATTCCAAACACTCAAACACTGTATTAAAGATCCACGCCATGCAATAGTATGGCTGCAATTAGTGAACATTGATCCTGATCAAGTGTGAACTTGCATAGCAATGGATATCGGGATCAAAATTCAGGATTATGTACTGCTTCCGTTTTTATCCGACAAACTTTTCAATAGTTTTTTTTTTAATTATTATTTGAAGACTTCTTTACATAAAAAAACACTTGTCTAATCGGACAAGTGTCCAGCAATATTCACTTGTCCGTAATTTTTTTTCGTTGGTACCGGACAAGCGGACAAGTGTTAATGTCGAGCCCTGTAAAGCGACAAACCTGACACTATTGATAATCATATTATCCGGGGACACAGAACTAAACCCTGGACCAAGCAACAAAAGCATTTTCCCATGTGGCCTATGTGAACTACCTGTTACTTGGAACTGCCAAGGAGTATGTTGTGATGCATGTGATATATGGCACCATAAATCGTGCATAGATTATGAACTACTCAAGCGATCAAACGTACAGTGGCTATGTTGCAAATGCGAAAGCATTAACATCAATACTTTCACATTTAGGAGTTATGAAATAGAACAATCAAATATATACGAAGGACTCACAGGACTAGACATAACCATCGACTCTATAAAATCAGTCTTTAGCCCACTACGAGCAAGTAGTCCAATGAACAAACACCAGGATCCAACCAGAGAAAATAACAGTCGTAAAAACCATAGCTCAAAAAATCAAGAACTGACAGGAACCCTTACGATGTTCCACCTAAGAAAAATCTGCGAATTATGACCATCAACTGCAGAAGTATAAAAGATAAAAGAGAAGAATTTGAAACAGCCATTCATTACCTGAAACCTGATATAGTATGTGGGACAGAGTCTTGGCTTAAAGGGGTGAAACCAGGACAAAATCCATCAAAGGACGCAATTAAATCTAGCGAAATATTCCCACCAAATTACAACGTATACAGGAACGATAGAGGTACACTAGGAGGAGGTGTCTTCATTCTTGTAGAAAAATCTGTAACATCAATTGAAAAACTGGAATTTGTAACAGAAGGGGAAATACAGTGGGTAAAAATCAAATTAAACAAGAGGCCCATGGGCCACATAGCTCACCTGAGTAACTTGGGTGATGCAGTTCTTTACCAGATTCCCCCTCTTGCTATACCTATCAGGCCCCACTACCTCCTTCCCTTTTATGATTTTAAAACTTTAGAATCTACACTACCCAAGGATGCTTCTATATAAGTTTCAGGTTTTGAGGCCCAGTGGTTGTTGAGAAGAAGATTTTTAAAGATTTGTTCTATATATTTCTGTGTAAAACTTGGAATCCCTATTGTGGCCCCGCCCTACCCCAGGGGGTCATGATTTTAACAATTTAATATCTACACTACCCAAGGATGCTTCCACATAAGTTTCAGCTTTCCTGGCCCAGTGGTTCTTGAGAAGATTTTTAAATATTTGTTCTATATATTTCTATGTAAAATTTGGGTTCCCTATTGTGCCCCCGCCCTACCTCCGGGGGTCATGATTTTACCAATTTAATATCAACACTACCCAAGGATGCTTCCACATAAGTTTCAGCTTTCCTGGCCCAGTGGTTCTTGAGAAGAAGGTTTTTAAAGATTTGTTCTATATATTTCTATGTAAAACTTGGATTCCCTATTGTGGCCCCGGCCAACCCCCGGGGTCATGATTTAACAATTTAATATCTACACTACCCAAGGATGCTTCCACATAAGTCTCAGAACTCGCCGACATCATGAGTACGAACAATTTTACGCAGATACATGAACATCCAACCAGAGAAGATAACCTCTTCATGGATTTGGTTTTTGTCTCAAACCCAACTTTAGTAAAATCATCTATAAATGTACCAGGCATATCAGATCATGACATCATCATCACAGATATGGACACCAAGGTGCACTACAATTGCACACCAACCAGAAAATGTTATATATACAGCAAAGCAAACTGGGATAATATAAACAAAGATCTTGAGGAACTCCAAACAACAATAGAACGTAACAACAGAAGAAATGACTCAGTACAACAGCTATGGTCAACATTCAAAAGAGAGCTGTTCAAAACAATGGACACCAACATACCAAACAAAGAAATAAGATCTAGATCAAGGAATAACATCACATGGATAAAACATAAACATAGGAAAATGCTAAAAAGGAAACAAAGGCTTTACAGACAGGCCAGGAAAACCAAAAAGTGGACTAACTACAGAGCATACCAGAAAGAATGCAAGAGAACACTAAGAAGAGCTGAATGGGAATACGTTAATTCTAATATAATGGAAGGTCTCCAGAATAACAACAACAAACCATTCTGGAAGTATGTAAAATCAAAGAGACAAGATGCAAATGGAATAGCGCCACTCAAAAAGGGAACAACACTGGTAAATGACAGCAAAGGGAAGGCAGAAATACTACTCAAACAATTCAAATCTGTCTTCACTAAAAACCAACAAAAGAAAACATGCCAGACACAAGAATCAAGTCCAGACGTAATATAGCGCCAATTACGATCGACCAGAAGGGCCTAGAAAAGTTGTTAAAGAAGACAAATCCATCCAAGGCATCAGGTCCGGATAACATACCTAACCATATACTACAAGAATGTGCAACCAACTTAGCACCAATCTTGAAAATCATCCTGCAGAAATCGATTGATACAGAGGAGCTACCAAAAGACTGGAAGGATGCAAATATATCAAGCATCTTTAAAAAAGGAGACAAACATCTTCCCGAAAACTACAGGCCAGTCTCTCTAACCTCAGTCACAAGCAAGATCTTGGGACATATCATCTGCAGGCATATCATGAAACACCTGGAAACAAACAACATACTTACAAACTTAAATCACGGCTTTAGATCAGGATACTCATGCAAAACCCAACTTCTAACAACACTCAACGACTTCCTTACTGAACACGACAAGTCACATCAAGTCGATGTAGCCATCCTAGATTTTTCAAAGGCTTTTGACATCATACCTCACGACAAACTACTCCACAAATTACATCAATATGGCATCCAAGGAACACTCCACACATGGCTAAACAACTTTCTAACAACAAGGAAAATGAAAACAATAGCAGAGGGAACAGAGTCGGAGGAAAAATCAGTAGACTCAGGAGTTCCACGAGGCTCAGTACTCGGCCTGATAATGTTCCTATGCCACATAAACGATCTACCAGACGCTGTCAGCTCGTCTGTATGCCTATTTGCCGACGATTGCCTCCTATATAGAACCATCAGGAGCAACAAAGACCATCAGATACTACAAAACGACCTCAACCAACTAGAGGTCTGGACAAATAAGTGGGGCATAAGATTCAATGCTAAAAAGTGCTACATTATGTCAATCAATCAGAAATCAACAAAACTATACCAACTTAACAGCCACATACTCCAAGAAGTACAAAACAACCCATACCTTGGACTTGAAATATCAAACGATCTCTTGATAAACAACATCAGTAAGAAAGCAAATAACACACTAGGCTTCCTAAGATGAAATCTCCGAAATGTCCCAGAAGAATGCAGAAAAACAGCATATATATCCCTTTTAGATCAATTATGGAATATGGAGCTACTATCTGGAACCCATACCTCAAAGGGGATATCGACAAGTTAGAAAGAATACAAAATAGAGCCATAAGATTATCAAAAAAGACTACAGCAGTAGGAACCCAGGAGCACTAACATCTATGAGGAAAAGTCTCGTTATTGAAACACTAGAGGAAAGAAGAACAAGTTTGCGATTAATTCTAATGTACAAAGTGGTTGAGGGGTTGGTGCTGGCACTACCACCTCATCTATTCATAAAATATACCAAAGAAAAACGCCAAAGCAAACCAAAACAATATAAGGACTATCAGACAACAAATATTATACAAAAACATGTGTGCAACAACAGCAAAGGCTTAGCAATACCAGCCAGTAGAAAGCCACAATATCAGCACTCATTCTTTGTGGACACATGTATTGAGTGGAACCATCTACCCAACTCTGTCGTACATGCGAAAACAATAGAGGGATTTAAGACCGCCCTACAGGAACATTGATGCCAATAACATCTGGCGCTCTCTCTTACCATTGTGAAAAAGCCTATATAGGATACTACAACGTATACATACAGATACAGAGACAAATTCATAAAATATTTGTTCCTTACAGATATATTTCTATGACACCCACTTTCAGTTTCTCTTATTTGTTTTTCATTAAGAGGGGTATTTACTAACTAAAATAACACTTTGAGTTTTAACAATCTTCAATAAACGTTGAAAAATACATTCAGTTATATAACTCTTGCACGGTTCATTAGTACAAATGAACAGACGACATAAATATAACCATGGCTGCCTAATTTCCTCTTTTAAAAAAAACTTACCTGAACTCGACAGATAGGAAGACTTTTCTCAAGTGGAAAAAGAGAAAAAGATGTTGACATAGCTCTCATTGTCTACCATACCACTGCTGTTGACATGCCCCAATTTCTCAAATTTTGGCCTACTTTCTCTTTGCAAAGAACTCTCTAAATTAGGAGGAGCGAAAGATATATCGCACGCTCGACTTCCGGCTTAGAAAAACAAGGTTTGTTTGTGCAACATCTTCAATGATCTTGGATTATTCATGGTATATGAACTAAGTTTAAGTTTTTTTTTCGTGTTTTCTTTTCTACATATGACAGTCATTACACGAAACAAATTGTTTCGTTAAACTGGGTCCTTAGGACATTTATCAATTTAACAAAAGAACAGTTCCATCTTACTGTCATATAGTGATAAATTAAGCATGAATTATGAACACCATAGTATATATATAGTTTGGTTTTGATGGTTTGTAATGCTGTTTTACAGGTTACAATGCCAGTTGCAGATTCCTCTTTGATTGAAGACATAGAAGACATTGTCAACCAGAACTCCTCTGCTGGTGATGTCCGTCAAGAGAATAAGAGACAAGTTGTCCCTAAAGCCAAACGAATCCACAGACAAACTAAGGAGGAAGCAGTCCATGCTGATAGCATCATACCAGGTACAAGTCTTAATATGATTCACTCAAGGACTTGCTTTATTTATAAGTCAATTGCGTTTACATGGGGCCAAAATAAAATTATAGTTTGTTTGGAATTGCCGCCCGCCTCATTGAAATACCCCCCGCCCAAAAAATTTTATTGGCAAAATATTGGAAATATTTTTTTTACCGTCTTATGTCAGACATTGCTTTTTACAAGTTAGTTCGTTCTTCGAAATAGTTTTTTAAAGTCGGGTTTGAGCTCACATAAATTTAACAACACCGGTCAATAAAACGCTTTCTTCATAGTATTTATGATATAGGGAATATAGGTGGCGATTTGACAAAATGAAAGCCGCCAAAATGTCAGACCAAGTTGGATCAGTGGATGTGAAAACATTCAAGCGTTGAAGACCAGAACATTTATGCATCTTCATAAAAATAAAAGGTGAATAAAAAATTAAATGGAATGATACACCGATACCTGGAAAGAGCTATTGTAATAGATTGCCCTTTGAACTTGATAGGATAAGTCCCGTCATGTTGAAATTGAAAATGATCGTTCAGTTCCCAGTTAAAAAATTACATGGGTCAGAAATGTTTATTCCCAAATACAAAAAGAAAAATGTTGTCTGTCAGTATGAAAAGTCTTTGAAACTTAGTGTTAGAACTGATTCATGGCGAACACTCTAGAACATACCTAGCACCCCCTCCCGTTTTTCCACAAAACATTCCAACTATTCATAAGAAATTTTGTGTGGTTCGCACTCTTTGTAAGGGTTGTCTTAATGAAGGGCTAAATTTCAAAGAGAAATGTTATGAAATAAACTAATGAAATTGTTTTAAAAAGATTTGTAAAGAAATTGTTTTAAAAAGATTTTTAAAATAAAGAAAAAAGTTTGACGCTGAAAGAGCTCTTTGACTTTCAATAGATAAGCAAATCTAACATCGAAGAAAGATTGATACTTGAGTACCGTTCTGTTTATATTTTAGACAAAAATGATATTAATCAACTAAAAGAAAGAGGGAAATTAACGAAAATCACCACTGTTCATTGTGATTTTTAGTTTCTATTTATTAGCTTCAATTTGCAAAAAAAAAAAAAAAAAATTCCCTCCCTCCCTCCTGGGTCTGAAAACCCCCAGGCGGCAATTCCAAACAAACATTTTTTTAAGGATGGCCTGGCATTGTAATACCTAGATGGAACATTCTATCATTAAAATGATATTGTGACATGACCAGTTTTAAGGACCTCACTAATTTACATGTATTTGCAATGTAGCAAAATTGTATACCTCCCAACCAATCAGATGATTTTGCAGAAAGTTGATTTAGTATCCCATTTTAAGCATTCTCAACTGAAATGCCGAGCGAGATGGACGTGCAGGTATCTATCATTTTAAAATTATTTAAGAGATGCATAAATTAATTTGTTTTCCAAAAGTTTTATTTAGGTTTGATTGCGCAGGGTTTTTTTTTCTCTATGCAGCTCTTGCTGATCTTTTGATGACATTACGATTTAATGCAAAACATTTTGATATATAAAACAATCCAAAGCACTCCAATATACAAAATTCTAAATGTTTTCATTAAAATGTTGTGTATCCCAAGTTTTTTTTTCTTTTTCTCTTTCTTAAATTTTTTTTTTCTAAACTTGTATACATACGGTTTTTAATTCATCAACAAGTAACGAAATGATGCACATAGGTGTTGGTTGATTATAAATCTACCCCCACGGAATACGATTTTCCGTTTTTTTTGGGGGGGGGGGGGTCAAAGTAATAATTTGTGAACTGCCCCACTCCCTCCTTTCTAAAATTTTTGAATTCGACATTAATACCTTTACGTTGTAAAATTTTACTTTTAATTCACCTCAATTTTTGAGTAAATACTAACAGTTCTATGGCGAATTGAACGATTGGTATGTCTGTATACGGATACAGCTTTCCGTCATTAAAAATAAACCGTGCTGCTACAGGCTAATTTGATAAAGTGTTCTGTATCGCAGGCATACTCCAAAACAGTTCCAAATGTAAACATGTTGTGTAAATTTGAAGCAAGAAAAAAATGTTGAGAAATTTAGTCAATTTTTCATCTTTATTTCGATTATTTGCTGGGATAAAGGGCATATACAATCTTTAAAAGGTTTGTTTTGAATAAATTGGTAATTATTTTCACTACAACCTATTTTTTAATCTTCAAAATCATTTTGGAGCAGATCTGCTCTGATTTGGTACAAGTATATAGAACATATTCTAACTGTGGTGACTGCTTGTACTAAGACACAGTTAGAATATTCAAACTATGTAATTCCAGTATTACAGTACTGGTACAAGTGCATAATGTGACAATACGAGTACATACTGCATTCATTTCTCAAATCTAATGAACAGTGTGAAATTTGAAAAATGGTAGAAACATTCTGTATTTTATAAGAATTGAAAAGAGGAAGATTAATCAAATTTATATTGGTATGTTTGTAGGAACACAGAAGATTTGGCTGAAAACCTGGGGATGTTCTCACAATAATTCTGACAGTGAATATATGGCCGGACAGCTGGCATCATATGGCTACAAAATTACAGGTTCGAAGAAGCTCATGTTTTGTTTTTGATAAGAAATATTTTGTGGAGAATTGAACAATAGCAATTTATAATTTTTACTTGACCAAGTTTCCTAAATTCACCATTCCCACCACATGATAACTTTGTTAACAACCAATATTTCCAATTCAGATATGTAGGGAAAATTTTGATTTTATTAAGATGTTTCATTCATAAAACAAGTTTGAACGTGTGTTTTTTTCAATCTTAAGATTTTATTAATTTTTTGCCAAAGAGATATTTAAATAGTAGACTTTATTAAAATGAGACTATGTGTTAGAATGAGACCCTGTGATTTCTACAGATAACAGTGAATTGGCAGATCTGTGGCTCCTGAACAGTTGTACTGTCAAAAATCCTGCTGAGGATCATTTCAGAAATGAGATAAAAAAGGCCAGAGAGAAACAGAAGAAAATTGTGGTAGCTGGCTGTGTCCCCCAGGGTCAGCCAAGAGCTGATTATCTACAGGTAAGAGATTCAGAGCAGATTTTCTACAGGTAAGATATTCATAACCCAGCTACACAACCACATGCAGGCACTTGTTTCGTATATGGGGCATCCCCTTCTTGTTAATTCAATTTCAGACACCCTCACTTCAAGCTGGTATTTTGTTAAAATATCAATCATTGACCTACTTTAAAATGGCATCATTTGTTTCCATAAACATTGTTCTTGTCAAATTAATCACTTCAAACATCTCTGGTTGAACCTATTTATTGTAAACCACTCAATTATTCCTAGAAAATTACCTAGATGCATTTTAAGGCTTTATCCTACTTCATGCATTAAATACTTAAAATGTTGTTATTGTTAATACATATCCTGTAATACGTAACATATTATATCTACAAACTTCCTATCAAGACCTACCAGGGGTAGTTATCACTTTGTTTGTACGTTGTAAATGTAAAGTTTACATTTGTAACTTTCTTTTGAACATGTAATGATATCAGTATATTTTTGTCCAGGGCCTTAGTGTTATAGGAGTTCAACAGATTGACAGGGTCACAGAGGTCGTGGAGGAGACATTGAAAGGTCAGAGGTCAAAGTCTAAGAATCTATGAAAATTATGATTTATTCACACCTTTATGCAAAAGATTTTGCTATTTTTTGAGGTGAAAAGTAAAAATGATGTGTATCAGTGTCACTCAGTGTGTATGAATGAAAATTATTTCAGTGTGACACCTGATTCTCATGTATCTCATGTTTTAAAGATTATTGATTTTTAGTACATTTTAAGCAAAGGTTTTTGAGATTACCACATTTAAATTAGTTAAAAATCATTCCACATAGAAGGTAGCCAGTTTTAGGCATCATATAATTGCTAAAATGACTTCTTGCTGAAATTATATACCAGTACCCTTTTTAAGGATGAATTGCTAAGTTTGTGTCTCATTAAAAATTCCACTTTTATTGTAATTTATGCATTATTTTCAATGACTGCATATGTGGGGGAGGAATTGTACATATTGCTTTTTGAAATATTAATGAAAAATCCATTATCTGTTTCAAATATCTGGAATGAGCCATCTAGTGTTGAATAATTGATAAGTTTACCATTAAAACTTGTTTTCTATCATCTAGACATGTCAGTTGCAAGGAATATTTCCTATTATGTATTTCACAAATTATTTTTTAGCATAAGCACAAAACTTTTTCTTAAGTGCAGCAGGTGAAACATTGATTTCCTGTCAATAGTGAAGGGATATGAGGACGATTGTTTTGTTGGCATCATTTTATTATAAATACAGCAAGAAGTCATTATAGCAATTTTATGATGCTTGAAACATAAAGGCTACCTTCAATACAAAAGGAATTAATATCAATATTCAATGTAAGTAAAACTCTCACTAAAAGTTCGCTGAATTCTCGTTAAAATTCCTGATTATAAACTAACAAAACAAATGCAATCAACTTTGTCCTGATCACTTACACATATAAGTCCCTGCTGGTGCATACAAATAGCCACTCAGCAAAGCGTTTTAGTTTGTTTCAGTTGAAGTTGAGCATGCATGTGCTGGAAAATCAAGTGCAGGCCTTATCTCTCCCTTCTCAAATGCAACTTGAAAGAAAAAAATGTGTCCAAAATTAAAATAAATCTGATAAAATCAGGAAGTTGACATATAGTTTTTCATTTCATAAAAAATCAGTCTCTGTCTAGTGTAGAAAATACCCAGCTTGGGAGAGAAGATTCAGGAGTTACTGTAAACATACTAAAGTTGGTGTTTTTTTTCTATTTATCAATTACAGGGGAAAACAGAATCTGCTAAATCAAGTGCATTGCTAAATATCTTGTATATTATATGTTTACATCTAGCACATTCGGATAGTGCTAAAACAAATCTACGCAGCCTAACTAAAACTAATTTCCACCAAATATCGTACACGCCAAATATAATACACTTACAGTATTTTGTGTCTGTCATATTTTGTGGCAAATCTCAAAAAAAGTAATGTCATATTTGGCTCTCTTTGACAGAATTTTTTGTATTTCATTGACTTGAAATAAGTCGAAGATTTTTAGCTCAAAGCCAAACCTTTTATTTATTGCGGAATATTAGAGATTTTTCCAGTGTATTCCTATGTAAAACTTTGACCTCCCTATTGTTGCTTCATTCTACCTTTGGGTTTGAACAGACTCATGCTGTTCAATGAGTACTTATCTAGATGATTTTGTTTCAGGTCATTCTGTAAGGTTATATGGCCAGAAGAAACAGGAGGGAAAGAAGGTAGGAGGGGCATCACTCAGTCTGCCCAAAATCAGGAAGAACCCCCTCATAGAAATCATTGCTATAAACACTGGGTAAGGATGCAGCTCATAGAAAACTCAGACTAGGTGTATCCATATCAGTTGTATCATAATATCTATTCCGCCTATGAAAGAAACAAAACTAAAATGTTTGGTAGAATGAGTAAATTAGGGTATTTCCTTAACCTTTATAATAAAGAATTTCAATTTTATATACATTGTAATGGAATATGATGTAAAAAGAAAAGAATTTACTTCTCAATAAAAGAAGAAAAGATGGCATGAGAAAGGAAATTCAGTGTTTTGTTTAATACATTTAATTTTTTAGGTGCCTGAACCAGTGTACATACTGTAAAACCAAACATGCCCGAGGGGAGTTAGGGAGTTATCCCCCAGAGGAAATTGTTGCCAGAGCCAAACAGTCATTTGAGGGTAAGTGAAATTATATCGAAACAAAATTTTCCATTCCTTGCACTTCATTATAAGGGTCTTTTACTTATTTCAGAGGGTGTAGTTGAGATCTGGCTGACTTCAGAAGATCTGGGTGCCTATGGACATGATATAGGGGTGACCTTGCCTGAGTTGCTATGGAAACTTGTGGAGGTCATTCCGGAGGGTGCCAGAATGAGGCTAGGGATGACAAACCCTCCTTATATTCTGGAGCATCTCGAGGTAAAAACTCACAGAAACTGGGACATCTCTCTCTTTAATGAACTATTGCCAAATACATGGTGTAGACTGAGATAATAGAACATTTTTCTCTGACGGCTGAACTTTGGTGTAATTATTTATAACATATAATTCTGTTGAGTGTAGAGATTCTTCATTGGTGATTTTCATGTTTTAGGAGATGGCTAAGATCCTGAGACATCCCCGAGTTTACGCGTTCCTCCACGTCCCTGTACAGTCAGCTTCTGACAGTGTTCTGATGGACATGAAGAGGGAGTACTGTCAGGCCGACTTCAGACACGTAGCAGACTTCCTGAAAGAAAGGTACAGGCAGATTAATCATCAAGCTGTTATATTAGCAGTTCACAACTAATATATTTGACAAATTACTGGAAGGAAATGGGAAAAAATAATTCATGTTTGTTTTTTAGAGTACCTGAAGTCACCATAGCAACAGATGTGATTTGTGGATTTCCCACAGAAACAGAGGAGGTAGATATATGCATTTATTAAGATTCATGATTTTCCAAAGCTGTATTAATCTCAACAGATATAACCCTGGGGTGCCCAAAAAACCCTTGGGGTGCTTAAGATATATGCATTATAAATAGCTATATGAAGGATTCTCACTGGAGCAAAATTTGCAAAGCTATTGATACAAGCAAAATATACAATATGTAGTGTTTAAGAATAAAACAATGCAATCATGACCCTGTAGATTATAAATTCCATTAATTGACGTGTATTTTGTTGCCACAGGATTTTGAAGAAACACTAAAACTTGTAGAGGAGTACAAATTCCCTAGTCTGTTTATAAACCAGTTCTTTCCCAGGCCTGGAACTCCTGCAGCAAAGATGCCAAGAATACCAGCTCAACAGGTAGGTCAAAAATACCAAGAATACCAGCACAAAAGGTAGGTCAAAGATGCCAAGAATCATAAATATCTCCTAATTATTGATTTTTAGCCACAGTCAGTGTGATATTTGTTACAGTGCAGTGCCCCTCATCCCCCCCTCCCCCCCCCCCAAAAAAAAAAAAATGAAGAAAATAACAAAGACATGTTCAAAAAAAATTTATTAAACATGTTTCTAATGAACTGGCACAATAGATTCAAACTATGACTGATTTTATAATTTATTCTTATAATATTTTAAGGTTAAACAGCGAACGAAGAAGATCTCTGAGTTGTTCCATTCTTACCGACCATATGATCATAAGGTATTGACAGAATAAATGTTTTTAAAAATTAGCAAATGGGTTTATTTGATATCAGATATTAAGATACTACATGTACATCTATAGATTATCCAGGGTTTATTTAAGGAATGAATTTAATATATACATTTTTCTGTAGAAATCATGAAAATTTTAAATTTATGTCATGTTCGTGGTGTCATTTCTACCATATTATGTCATTGCTTATGAAAATATTCAGTGCTTTGATGTCAGCATATATCCCCCTGTTTATTAAAATATTTCTCTCTCAAAGTTTGGTTTGGGTTAGACAGGGGGCCAATATTGGTTATTACCGAATAAAGTTCTTTCCAATTAAAAATTTTGTCTCATTTGTTTATATATATATATATATATAACATTCATATCTTGCAAAAAAGGTTATTATATTTTTATACAGAAATTTATTTTACACGTAGATGAATGAAATACAGGAGGTTTTGGTGACAGAGATATCACATGACCAGCAGTACTTTGTCGGTCACAACAAGTTCTATGACCAGGTTAGATTTTGTATACATATGGTTGATTGTATAAAGGATAAATTATGTAACTACACATGTATAATACATTACAAGGGTGCATTAAAGATCTTGATATTTTACTGTGTATAAGATTAAGAAAAGTGCTTTCTTTTGATTTTCCTACAAAGATACTATAATGCATCACACAATATTCAGTGATAGTGTAACAGTATACATGTATATTTCAATCAAATTATGGTACCTTTTCCACTTTATCACCTGTGTTTGATTACCTACAGGTGTTGGTCCCTAAGGATGAAGATCTGATGGGTAAGATGGTGACTGTTCAGATAAAGGAGACGGGGAAACATTACCTCAAGGGACAGCTCCTGTCAGACAAGGATGCCATTCGCCCCGATGTTCCTCTCCCCCTAAAGAAAGGCCAGGTGTCAGGGGCACCCCTAGTCCAGGTGAGTGGTTAGAGGGGAGGCCCATGGAGGGGGTATTTCTGAAGTTCTCAGAAGTATCTACCTGCAGTTTCTGTATGTAAATTTTATATATTCGATGCAATTTGCATGCCTTGTTTATTTTTTCATTTTCAGACTGAGAAGATCTCCAATCACAGTTTTGTAATGGTCATTTCTTTAGTAGCAGTGCTAATAGCAGTGATATGGAGATTCTATGGTTTAGTTTTAGGAGCAACGTGATGATATGCATGTTATCTGAATTGGCAGACTAGAACTGAAGAGATTATGTGTGTAAAGAACTCCATACTTTTATTTAAAAGACTGTGATATGTAACACAACAACTTGCTGATCCTGGGACAAGCAGGGGAATTGACCACAGGATGTTGGAATGTTCTTTAAAAGAATAAAATAGATAAACCTTGATATCTTCTGTACTGTTTTATTAAGATTTGAGCTTAAAAACAAACAAACACACACACACACAGGCAGAATTTTATTCACAAATAAAAGTGACTGGGAATACATATTGGTGAGAGCTTTTCAAATGCATCAACATTTTTACCTTGGTCCTTCCTTTGACCTTGACCTCACTTTCCTAAATTAGTGTCAAACTTCATATGCTGCTTTACTGATGTAAGCAAATTCAGTTGCATCAACAGTTTTGACCTTTCATTTGATTGTTGTGTTTAAGTTAGTTTTAAAGAAACCAATCAATATTTTTTTTCAACTTTATACGTTGATACACACTGATGAGAGCTTTTCAACTGCATCAACATTTTTTTTTACCCTTGGCATTTCCTTTGGCCTTGACCTCACTTTTCTGAAATTAGTGTCAAACTTCATATGCTGATCAATGCATACTAATGTATGCGATTCAACTGCATCACTATTCAACATATTCTGATCAATTTTCATACACTAATACAAATTTTCGTGTTACATTTACTAATATTCCCTTGGCGGGGCATTCATGTCCTATGGAAATATTTCTAGTTTATGAAGAAGAAAAACAGTATACCTGCTCACCATAATAACTGGTCCATGGTTCCAGGGATGAGGTCAAACCGCGGTAAAGGGCTGACCATATGCTGATATATAAGTATAACCTTTAAAATCTTTTTATGACGTCTAGCAAACAAAAAAAACCCAACACCAATCGGGTTACCTTCCAGGCCCAGGGGCATTTTGTACCATTGACAAAAAGAACCTTGTTCATTATTTGCCTTGATACCAGCCTCCCGAACAAAGAACAAAAGTACCCATAGATTGTGGGACTGTTAATATATGGATGTATTTTTTTTGTTCTATCGATGAGATATATTTGAACTTCCTTTCTTTCTTTGAATCGATATTTTACAGGAACTTTTCAAGGTTTTGTGTACATTTATAGCCAATATTGTTGTAGTAACCAATAAACAGTGTACTGGCTATGTAGGACATTATATCGTAAAACGGTCCAAATCGGTCTTTTCCTGAATAGGAACTACCCGGTTACCGTAGTATGTTGGTTAATGACGCTGCAAGGTGCGTGATAATTGTCTTAATTACACAATCATTAACCTCCACACGGTGAAAGAGAATTTTACGACTTGAATGTCGCCAGATATGTTTTATGAGAATAAACTTGCGTTTATTGAGTGGTTGTACATTCAACATAAAAAAATTCATTTGAAATTCAGACACGTTGCATGGGGGAGGGGGGTGCTCTCCACTTTTTTCCAGACATACTAGGAAAACGGTTGCCCTCCCTCCCCCTCCATGTACACACACTTTTGGTTGCAATATTGTGTAATAAGATAATGAAAGGGTAATGTAGAGTGATTGCAAAATAAATTTTTCATTTTTTCGCTTGTCAATTTTTGCAGGTATGTTTAGTTAAATCTTTTTCTCGGTCTGCCCCTCCCCTTTCAAAAACGATGGTTGTAGGTATAGGTAGTTACTAGTATCAAATTAAACTTTCTGTGAAGAAAACATCATATTTGTCAACTCTTCTAGCTCGCCTGGATCAGTTCTCTTATTTTTGGCAGTGCGTACTTTTTATTTGTATCTGAGAACGGTTAAAATAATACAAGAGGCCCAAGGGCCTTATAGGTCACCTGAGTATCATGCAACAACTTTCCAACAAATTAAATTTGATTCATGTTTTAAACCAGAGGCCATGGAATTCTGACACAATTTTGAAAGAGGCACCATTTAAGTTTTATTTCATAATGTTGTTGATTAATACCAAAATGCAGCTTTCAAAGTGTTAAATAATTTTCAGATTATGTACCCCCCCCCCCCAAAGCACCTCTGTCCCAGGGGCCAGTAAAATAACCGTTTTTGAAAGAAGCAGCTTTCTTTGTCATAAATATATACTAAGATCATTGGCATAATACCCAATGAAAAAAGGAAAACATTTTCAAAGAATTCATGCATTTTCATTAAATAAACATTAGAGCCCCACCCTAACACAAGAAGCCCTGACCCAGGGGCTCTGAAATTCACAAATCTCAAAGAGGCATCCTTCCTTCTCATAACTATGTACATAGTTCATTGGTTAAATGCCCAGGTGTAGAAAAAAAGATTTCTAGAGAATTTATGCATTTTCACTATATAATCAAAAAAGCCCCACCCTAACACCAGAACCCCTAACCCAGGGGTCATGAAATTCACAAATTTGGAAGAGGCAGCCTTATTCAACATAACTACGTACTTCGTTAGTTTATTTAATACTCAGGAGCAAAGAAGAAGATTTTCAAAGAAATAAATCATTTTTACTATATAATCTATATAGCCCCACCCTAGCACTAGAGCCCCTGACCCTGGGGCCATGAAATTCACAATTTTGGAAGAGGCAGTCTTATTCAACATAGCTATGTACTTAGTTAGTTTATTTAATCCCCACGAACAGAGAAGAAGAATTTCAAAGAATTTTTGCATTTTCACTATATAATCTATATAGCCCCGCCCTAGCACCAGAGCCTCTGACCCTGGGGCCATGAAATTCAAAATTTTGGAAGAGGCAGTCTTATTCAACATAGCTATGTACTTAGTTAGTTTATTTAATCCCCATGAACAGAGAAGAAGACGTTCAAAGAATTTTTGCATTTTCACTATATAATCTATATAGCCCCGCCCTGCCGCTGGAACCCCTGACCCTAGGGCCATTAGATTCACAATTTTAGAAGAGGCAGTCTTATTCAACATAGCTATGCACTTTGTTAGTTTATTTAATGCCCACAAACAGAAAAGAAGACGTTCAAAGAATTTTTGCATTTTCACTATATAATCTATATATCCCCGCCCTAGTACTAAAACCCCTTGCCCTGGGGCCATGAAATTCACAATTTTGGAAGAGGCAGTCATTTACAACTCAACTATGCACTTGGTTAGTTTATTTAATGCCAAGGAGCAGAAAAGAAGAATTTCAAAGAAATAATGCATTTTCACTATATAACCTATTTAGCCCCGCCCTAGTACTAGAACCCCCCTGACCCTGGGGCCATGAATTTCACAATTTTAATTTGGTAGAGGACTCAATGCTGATTACAATCATACTAACAGTTTGACTGCTTGATGTCCAGGAGTACAGAAGAAGATTTTTAAAGATTGCACTAATTTTAGTGGTTTTTTTGCCCCCCCCCCCCAGGCCCCATGGGGGCAGGGACCACGAAATTCACAATTTTTGTTCCCCTTCTCCCATAGATCTCTATGCCAAATTTGGTTAAAATTGGTTCAGTGGTTTCAGAGAAGAAGCTGAAAATGTTCAAATGTTAACGCACGACGGACGACGACGGACAAAAACAGATAGCAATACCGGGGGTATATAGGTCACCTGAGTTTACTCAGGTGACCTAAAAATGGAGAATATACACTTTGAAAAGCTTCACAGAAATAACAGGGGTACTGCAAATCGGAGCACCACATCGCATAGAGCTTATCTATCAATCAAAATAGCATTTGACATCAATCCCTATGCAAATCACGTCAATTCCGTTTTGCGCAAGAATAAACTAATACACTTTAAAGTTTAAAGTTCGAGGTTTTCAACCTGATAAAAAATTTATGTATCGATAGATCGTCTGTATCACAGTGCATTGATGTATTGTTTCATCCATGTGATTATGGTAATATTGAAATTTAAAGAATTTGCAAGAGTCTTTAAAGGTGCTTGGACACAAATTTGAAGTTAATATTTTCTCAAATTTTCTGCAGAATTTCATATCTTATATGTTGCTTAAGCAGTTTACACTAAAATATAATTAAAATCTTATTTTAATTATTGAAATTTCGAATTTCTGGACGCGTTTTATCGACACATCCTTGCACTTTCACAAATTTACCAGTAATTTTATGCCTAATACTTAAGAAAAGTGGACATTTTGTAAATATTACAATTTAAATCCAGAAAATTGAACACACAGTAAACATTAACGACCTATTTACAAAAAGAATTAACATTTCACTGTGTTTAAGCGCTACACCTTTGACGATTCTAGTGAGTGGGTTTTGCATTTGAACATTTCTACTCTGAATTTTCTGGATTATAAATGTAAATTTTTTTCATTAATAAAAAACAAAATTGCTACTTTTCTCAAATAAAGAACTGTGTTTTCCAACCCTTTTGATTTATTCAATTTGCAATATATATGTTCAGAAAATTTGAGAAAATATTAAGTTCAAAAAAAAGAAGACATTTTTTTTACCCTTTTGATTTATTCAATGAAATATGTTCAAAAAAAAGGAGAAGACATTTTTTTACCGACTTGCGGACCGAGGATCCAGACAGTACCATAACTGCTAAAGATCTCGTGCAGTTTATTCGTGTACAAAAGGAAAATCCTAAAATTGTGTTAAAAAATTTATTAATAACCACAAACAGGTCATTATAACAAGAAAAGGTTAAACAACTAAAACATATTTACATGTATATTGTGGCTAGTCGACCAAGCAGCATGTGCCTGGAAGTAATAGGAAAATAATGTTTGCTTTAATTACACAGTAGATGTTGCGTAACAAAAAATTAATCAATTGGGTAATAGAAAATTCGTGTGATGAATTGTGAAATAGTAACGCTGCTCCTATACCAAATAAAAGATTTATTGAAATACCCAGATCAATTGGCAATTTACACCTAAAAGACGTCTGTTAACCCTGAATTACAACACCTTCCTGAAATGAGTATTTGCCGACTTTTAAAATGCAATGAACCCGAGACAACTACCCAAACTAGCAATTAATCTCTCTCGTTTTACTTTTCTCTTCAAATGAAGTCTATTGATTGAAATCTGGTACTGGCCGTGTGGATCAAATACCCAGTGATTCAAAAAAGAGTAATGAAATTGATTTTCTCATATATTTTTCAGAAAATTATTATTTTTGTTGCTATCTTTAAGATTGCCTTCTAATCAATATGAAGCCATTCTATTTCTATGAAAATATTGATTCTGATAACTGATTTAGAATTAAAGGCTTATTACTAATCCAAAATTGGAAATTTCAATTTACAATATTGTTTTCCTTTTTAGCGATCTTGGATTTCCCGCGACGCTGGCGGGCCCTCCCGTAACTGCCAAATATCGGCGTTATTGGCTTTCCCCGATTTCCCCCGAACTCTACCGTTTTCTCCTCCCGGGGCTGCATTGAGGGGAGGCAAATACAGTGAACTTTTGGAATTTGGTGAGTTGTTTATCCCAGGGAGTGGGTCGCCGAAAGTGGACCAGGGGTCCCTGAAAGCTGACTCCAATACAGCCGGGCTAGTAGCCGATCGATTGGCACTGCTTATTTCACGATCATGTAAATGCACTGATTCCCCTTTGGAAAACATAGTGTCCACTGAAAGTTCTCGAAATTTAGCACTATGTCTTGTAGAGGATTGGCTTCTCTTACTCTTTGAAACCATGGCACTGTCTTGTAATACTGACGTTTCGCAGGGTGTTTCTTCTCTTCTGGGAAGTTCTAAATTTGGAACTTTTGGAGAAAGTGTTTGGTTTAAACTTGTAGCTTTCCTGTTTCCCTTTTTCACTGACTGAGAACTTTGAGAAGAGTTAGCTGATTTAACAGATTGTTTTTGTTCGTTTGTTGAACCATCAGAATCGGGATGAATCTCTATGCGTGGTGTACTCAGAGTTTTGTTTTCAACTTTTGGTCTGTTCGTTTTGTTAGTCTTTCGAAATTTTGGGGTCTTTGGAATTCCTTTATCATACGAAATATTCTGGTCGTTGCATAATTGTTTAACTTCCGCTGCGCATTCACGCATAGTGCGGACAAGTTTACCAAAGTCTTCTAACTCATCCTCTGTGTCGGAGCCCGCCAAAACTGACGACACGCTTGACTTCTTTGACCTTCCTCCTGCGTCTTTTTTCTTGGTCCTTGATAACGGTTCCCTCTTGGATTTCAAAAATGTCGGTTTAAATCTACTGTCACTCGAAATTGAAAATTTTGAAAATACATTCAATATTTTTTCGCGGTGCATGGATTGCGCACGGTCCAAGGCTGTCTGACCTCTGGAGTTCATAAGGTCAAAAATAATATTAATTTTCTTCTGATGGTGAGCTTCCAGCAAGACTTCTACAACTTGTTCGTTTCCGATCGAGCATGCGTACATCAAGCCTGTGTTCCCATCCCGTTCTTGAATATTCACATTTAAATCTTTCTACAATATAATAGTTTGTTTTGGGTTATTTTAATTTTTTGTATCTAGGAAAAAATATGAAGAAAAATCAATTTTTTTAAATAAATGCACATTTTAAAGACGACAAAACCAATTAATTCTATTTGCTAGTATGGTTCAAGATAACGCCAAAAGCCTCTCTATTATTTAGTTCAGAAGCAGTAAAGCCTTTTTGTGTACAAATTGATGCATGAACAATGTTGAAAAAAAGAATGGAAAATCTAAAACTATTGATCGATCATAATAATCATATTTCGTTACTAACTGCAATGAGTTGTTCAAAGTACTTAGAGTTTGAAAGCGTTCTCTCTGGTCGTAACTATATAACCTCCTAAGCATTTCAACTTAAAATCAAGTACACTAGTATTAGCTGCAGATCTGTAGCTCTCCGAAAAAAAAAATATTGATAGACCGGAGAGCTACAGTGCCACCCATCGAAAAAACTGTATATTTATTGCGCACAAAAAAATGCGCTCGGTTTTCGATTTATTTTCCCATGTTTTTGAATCTGCAATCTCAAAATATTACTAACCGTATGTTCCTAACACATTCTTTCGCTGTTTCCAAAACCAAGCATTCCTCATAATTGTTGTTAATAGTCCTCCTGATCCTGATATTGTTGTCATCGAACACTTCATTTATTTATACTGCCATTCTGGTTTCAAAGATAATTCGGTCTAATATGCTTCGTTCAGATGTCAACTACGAGAGTAATTGATAAAGGAGAGAGGAATTTTTTGGAATCTTCCTTTTTTTGCAGTTGAGGTAAGAATTTGGAAGAATTAATCAAGAACCGAGCGAATTTTTTTGTGCGCAACAAATATACAGTTTTTTCAATGGGTGGCACTGTAGCTCTCCGGTCTATCAATATTTTTTTCGGAGAGCTACAGATCTGCAGCTACACTAGTATCAAAGTGATTTTAGAGATCCGAAACGATTTTTAACAAGAAACATATTGACGCAAGCGTCAAAAATCGGCCGCAAACAAATAATTCTTCCTTTGATAAAGTAATTCGAAACTGAAATTTGCGTGATCTGTTTTTAAAATTTCTTATATTTATCTGTTAAAATATCCTCGTAACATGAAATACTTGCATGCGACATTGCCGATTTTCTTCATGCATAATGCATGTACAATATTATATGTGTAAGCAAACTGCCCATAGACCTCTGCGTCCGTACAAACGAACTCTGGTGGAAGTGTGATGTTTAAGTAATTATTAATACATAAAAGTACAAAACTAAAGTTTAAACTTAGCTATAGTTTTACTTTAATTTAAACGGAACAAATATGAAATATGTGTGACTCTCTTAAAGGATGTTAATAACCCCCCAAATCCATCTAGATCCACCACTACATTTCTTCTCTTTTGGTGTTGAGATGTGGCGGGAAAATGCTTGGCACATTGTAAAACGCGCTTTATCCTAGTCTCATGGACAAAATTGTCGTACGATTCTGTGATTTTAAGAAATCAATTATATTACATCAAATTTTTGAAAAATTTCCATAGGAAATGTATAAATATACACGGCATTTAAAAATAAGTACAACAAATCCTGTCTAGGCTGTTTAAAAAGAGAAAGTAAAACTGTTGATATACAACGTGGTCTTTGTTTTAGACTATGCCTACATAAGACACTTCGTGCTAATTTTCTCCGCACTTCAGTTATGTCAGAGTTCGTCAATTAGGATTGGATGAAATATTTACCTAGATCTAATTATTTATAAAAATTTTATTTTATGATTATTGTGCTTTTTGTTAAACATTTAGAATATCTTTGTTTAATATTCTATAATATGAATGTTATTTAATATTTTTATTCAAATTGTTCTAACTCCGCAGTTCTAAACGCACGGCGACTTAAAACTTTCATATCAACTAACCGACCGCCTCCTGGCGGCCGGTAATAAGTAAGCCTATATGATAGTTAATTCTTTTTGTAGCAAATCAATCAAGCGCAGTAAGACTTGTTTAATTTCCAAACGAGTGCCAAAGTATGGTATTAGCCAGGAGGAAAAATTTCACATCTTTTCAAGTTTCCCGAGAGCTTGCATCAATTAATGTAGATCTTACAGAATATAGTTTACTCAATCAATTTTACGTATCATCAATACATTTGGGTTTCTAAATTAACATCGCCTACATTGGCATAGACACAATGCACATTATTAGATAGATATACCGGTATCACGTACTGTGCGCTGTAAATATGGACACATCAATATTACATGGCTTTGTATTTTAAAAATAGCAAAGAACATCCAAAAAGGGATGACAGATACATCGACCGAATTCAAACAATGTCGATTCCAGATTGAAACGAGTTTAAAAATGTGGTAGTAAATTTCCGATAAGAACAGGAAGTAGACCGAAGGAACTGGTTTAATTTATTACCACACATTCCAAAAAAAAAGAAGAAGAGCTTGTGTTGTCAACAGTCCGTGAACTACCAGGAACTCGTGAACCCTTAGAAATAAATGAACCGCTAACCTCTAACAATCAGTAAATCCTAACCTCTAACAATCAGTGAACCCTAACCTCTAACAATCAGCAAACACCTAACCTCTAACAATCAGTAAACCCCTTACCTCTAACAATCAGTAAACCCCTAACCTCTAACAATCAGTGAACCCCTAACCTCTAACAATCAGTGAACCCCTAACCTCTAACAATCAGGAAACCCCTAACCTCTAACAATCAGTGAACCCCTAACCTCTAACAATCAGTAAACCCCTTACCTCTAACATTCAGTAAACCCCTAACCTCTAACAACCAGTAAACCCCTAACCTGTAACAATCAGTGAACCCCTAACCTCTAACAATCAGTAAACCCCTAACCTCTAACAATCAGTAAATCCTAACCTCTAACAATCAGTTAACCCCTAACCTCTAACAATCAGTAAATCCTAACCTTTAACAATCAGTTAACCCCTAATCTCTAACAATCAGTGAACCCCTAACCTCTAACAATCAGTAAACCCCTAACCTCTAACAATCAGTAAATCCTAACCTCTAACAATCAGTAAATCCTAACCTCTAACAATCAGTAAACCCCTATCCTCTAACAATCAGTTAACCCCTATCCTCTAACAATCAGTTAACCCCTAGCCTCTAACAATCAGTGAACCCCTATCCTCTAACAATCAGTAAATCCTAACCTTTAACAATCAGTTAACCCCTATCCTCTAACATTCAGTGAACCCCTAACCTCTAACAATCAGTGAACCCCAATCAGTGAACCCTAACCTCTAACAATCAGTAAATCCTAACCTCTAACAATCAGTAAATCCTAACCTCTAACAATCAGTAAATCCTAACCTTTAACAATCAGTTAACCCCTAACCTCTAACAATCAGTAAATCCTAACCTCTATGAATCAGTTAACCCCTATCCTCTAACAATCAGTTAACCCCTAACCTCTAACAATCAGTAAATCCTAACCTCTAACAATTAGTAAACCCTAACCTCTGACAATCAATGAACACTTTTAAAACCTCTAACAATCAGTAAACCCTATATATAATGTCCTAAACGTATGCAATAAGGTACCTTCAAGGTACATATATATCCTTCTGTAAACAAAGATTCTCTCGTCTCTAGTAGGAGGAACTAACCAAGATAACTGTGGAATTGTACATAGTAAAATTAACATTATTATAGAGCTAGTACCTGTTCTAAGAGGACTTTGAGTGGTTTAACTTGGTTCATGATACAAGCATACATAAACGTCGTCTGTCCTTTTGCATTTCTGGCGTTGACGTCAGCCCCCCGCTGGAGAAGTGCCCGGATGAGCTCCGCCTTCCTCTCTCCAGGGGCTCGGGAGTTCGCCATTGTAAACATGAGCAGGGATTCTTTGTCCTCGTTAGAAATGTTGACGTCAGAACCATTTTCTGTAACCAGCGTTAACTGGAAAAGTCAATATGAATATGAATAATTAATTACAAATGTAAATATATTCTTCGAAATTTGTCTGAAATATTTTAACTTAAATTTTTATTAAGACGTCGCGCACAGAATTGGGGAAGATTTTGTAACGTCAAAATATCTATTTCTGACGTTATTGTATACGTCGTTTAAGCGTAAAAACGTCAAAATTTTAAGGCGTAACAAATTAGACTAGACATTCAATTCCTGCTCCTGTTTTCTTAAAAATGTCTAATTCTTTAGTGATTCTTCAAATACAAAATTTCATTTATTTGCACATTTTAAAAATAAGATTTTTTCTGTGACAACTTTTTCCATTAAAAAGAAAATACAGCTCAAATTTACAATATACGTCCCGTTAAATACCATATAATACGTATATTTATGTCGTGGTAACAAAACCGACTAGACATCAAAATCGCTCTATCAATCTCTGCTATTACTTGCGTATAATTTTTTAAAGATACATTTGACTACTTCTTCATTTGCATATTTCATTAGTCACTTTAGTTTTACGAAAAGAACATGTTATATAGTAATTAATGTTTACCAAGAATATTACAGAATGCTTCCAATTTTACGAATAGTCGATATCGGTCAGTATACGTTCAGTATATTGTTAATTTATTGTAATGAATTTTGTTTGACATCATCCCAGGACATTATAGAAGATTGGTACAAATTGGCAGAAAAATCCATGTAGCCAAAACGTTAAAATGACCAAAAATTTTAACGCCCGTTGTTTGCAGTGTTACAAGTTACGCAATTTGAAACCCCAATACTACGCGCGACGTCTGAACATTTAGCAGTGGAGAGAGTGGAATATTTTTTCTTTCAGGTTGTTGTTGAGTTCCCAGTTTTTTTCCCCATTATAGATCACCTAAGTAAAACGGGTGGCCGGCACTTTTGCATGGACATGTGTAATATGGACATCATCAAGTTCATTCAAATAATACAAATCAGGAGCACACCAAAACATCAGAGGTGGGATTAGGTGCCATGGAGAAGTAAGCATCCCCTGCCGACTGTTCAAACCAGCCATGCGCTCCTTGTCATGATCGCGAAAAACGAAAGGACAAACGCGTGCAATTTAGGGTGCAAATAATAGGACTTCTTAGACTAACAATTACTATGAAAAACGTCAGTCACCATTTTTGGTCAACGATAGAAGGTTGTATTTACTGACAAGGTCATTGTATCGACAAAAAAACTTGCGAAATGATGACTTTGAAACAAGACTAGGGATATCCTTGTTTTATCAATTTGTTAAAAATTGTTCAAGCATAGAACATGCTCTTGCATATCGAATCAATGGAGAGAATAAACCCCATTGCAACATAAGTAAGAGAAGCTGGCAATTGAAAAGTTGAAGTCATCACGTTTACCATAAAACTTGATTGTTAGGTTACCATTTTACATTTTAAAGAATGAAAACACTTGCTGTGGCTTTCAACTAGACAATTACACATCGACGACATATCATGTTATCTTTGCATGTAGAAGATTTTGATTAAATTATGCTTCATGTCAATACAAAAACAGGTCTGCGAACATTGGGGCGCATTTAATTGGTACCCACGGGAGTTCCAAAAGATTGTTGATAGATTTGATCTCCAAAAACAGAGATCTATGTTGTCAAACAAAAACTCAACCATAGTTTTAATATCAAATTCATATTGTTTGACAAAATAATTTTGCAAATGACCCATGACGAGGGAAGTATATTTATGAATTTCATTTTTATTGAAAAAGAAGCTGTTTTACGGTTCAAAAATGAACAATAGCTGTTCGAAGTGTTTGCAAAAATAGAATTTGTCCTCTTTTATAGTTTTTCGTTGGTAATGGAGTTATCTTATTACTAGTATATATTTTTTTCATAAAAGATGTTTTCTTCTCACACATTGATTGAACCTTACTGAACATATGGTGTACTTTGATGCTATTTTGGAAAAATTTTCTGTAAATTACTCTCCCAAACTGAAAGAAGAGCCTTTCAGAATAGGTCGTGTTTCTCTATAATGCTACAATGTATACTTATTCCGAACACTGAAGGCTTCTTGTAAAAGAGAAAACAAAAATCTTCGAGCATCCACACTCCACAGCAAAAAGCCCCTTCCTCTAAGCAATTTTTTTTTTGGGGGGGGGGGGGGGTATTAGTTTGTCAAAATATTCGTTACCGAAAAATATATTTCTATAGATGCACCAAAAAAGAACCATTAAATAAACGATTTGTGTCTTTGCGTGTAGAATTGTGGGCTACCTAATGTTTAGAACGAATAATTTATATGGCCGCAGTAATTAGCAAAAGTCTTAGATTAGCATATTTAAAAATAGTATATAGCAATTTAATTGATTGAAATCCCAATGTCTAATTCATTTACATACATCCCTGATTGGTTTTATTTTTTGTGCGAATAAATGAATACTCAGGGGAAATAATTGTCTCAGTTTCTGAACATGAACTATAAACCTTCATTCTAAACATTTGTCACTTTATGTACTGGATCAAATATTGAATATAGTAATTGTTATTGATAATAAGATAATGAAACAATGTACAAATAAGAGATCAGAGAACATACAGAATGATGGTTTAATTGACACATAGTAATGATCATCCCTTAATGGTGCGATTGATTTTTGTACCTAGATCTGATGTATTGTTTGTACTGACCATTTTTATTTCGTTTCCGCTGTTTTTGTGTTTCAAATTCTGTCCAATGTCATAATAAAGAATTAACAAAATTTCGATTTTTATGAATGCAACCTGTGTCAAAATTGTCCCAGTATAATATCAAAGTAGTCCGAAATATCCTACACGTTTTCCAGGCTTTATTTAACGATTTGGATATTTGACGTGCCAGGTTTTCCAGGCAGGCCAAATATCAAAATCGTTAAAATAAAAAAAAAAATGGAAAACGTGTAAGATATTTCGGACTACCCAGTGAGATATGACTATGCATAGCCTAAGTGTATTCCTTTTCCCAAACCCAACATCATGCTTTAAGAAAACATTACAAACTAAAACCTGAACACTTATTTTGAATTCGCTGCATAGTTGCTGTTTTCTTTCATTTTATAACCAAAATATAATCAATACCCAATAAATTAATTTTTGAGATAAGGGAAAAAATATTACGTCAAGTGTCTTGTGTTGTATAGGCCGTTCTATCTTTGATCTTTTTGATATATTCTCCAGATTTCATGATATTCTGGTCGGTATTCAATTAATCATTAAATGCTCCTCAAAATCATTGAAATGTTTTCTATACCGGTATATACATCAAACTTCACATAATGACAAACAAACGAAATGTAATACCTACTATTGTTATACCTTTAAAAATACAAATCTATACGGAAAAAAATCTAACATTTTTAATATTTTGATGAGCGGGCATAAAAAAAATCGATGATGGACCGCTGAGTGAGATGTTGGATCGCTCGGAGAGATGTTGGACCGCTTACGTCACAGAATGGGCGGAGCTTAATCTCATTTTCATTCGTTGGTGTTAATCAGTGACAGACCTTAAGTTACATCACGGAATACAGTACAAAAAATAAAAATAAAATGAAAGGTATAACAAAACATTCTTGGGCAAAATGCGTTTTGTCGGACCCTCGAACCAAACTGTCTGCCTGAGGCCGTTAATGCGTTTTGTCGGACCCTCGAACCAACCTGTCTGCCTGAGGCCTCAGGCAGAAGTTTGGTTCTTGGATCCGACAAAACGCATGTTGTCCTCGAACTCAGTCAATAAATGTATACACTTTAGTTATCAAAAACTTTCAAAAACAATTACTAAGATTTTGTTTGAATCAATGTAGTTTTAAACTACTACAAGTATTTATTTGGTTTTTGGTCACTTTGCCTTGAGTAGATTTCATGCTTTATATTAGAATGAGGTCTGAATGAGATCGAATGTTGAAACAATCCGTAATGCTCAATATAAGAAATGATGTGAATTTGATGCAAATGATGCATTGATATGTTGTTGAACTCAACAATACATCTTCAGGTTACAAAGTTCAGTAATTGAAATATGTGCATTGATTAAATACTAATCCAAGAATATTTATAATGATTTATATTTGTTTAGTATATGATTGGTTTGTTCACAGTGATTATAAAGCTATTGAAAATGTCTGGTATAATTCTATACATTGGATTTTAACCTGATTAGAATTTATAATATTTATGTCGACCAAAAACTTTTTTTAACTTGATAGAATTCAAAAGTTCTATCTGAGGAAAAACATCATGCATCTGGGAAAACATATCTGTTGTTGCTATTAATTTAACGGTTTATGACTTCGTTTTTGATTCGTCGTTTTATTACGCACAATGATAGAAATTAATATTTTTTTATAAAAAATTGTACAATATATCCCAGTCACTGTACCCTACAAGTAAGGTAAGAATTTCTATTGGGTCTCTTTGAAGAGTTTAGGAGTTTTTCAAATACTACATCCTCACAATGCATATACTAGTATATATATAGTTTAAATACGGAAAAATTACCTAAAATTGAAAAAAATCGTAAATCCTGGGGTGTTAATTTCGGTGTATCACGTATCCGCAATTTGATTTTACCAAAAAATCCCGAATCCGCAAATAAATGTAAAACAGCACTTTGTAGCACTATGAGAAAAAGTTTTGCGGAAATGAAACATGATTTTTTTTTCTTTAAAATTTGCGGAAATTTATTTAGCCATTAATTTTCTTTGTAATCATACTGAAGGTTAACACAAGTGTTACATATCTTATACATATACATATAATTTTGACTTATTTAAAGAATTCTTGCTGTTAAAAAAAAAGCCAGATCTATTTTAATCAGCAACTTCTGTGGCAAGTTAAGTAATTTGTATGAATGAAAAATTTATTTTTAATACACTAAAGTAAAAATGAATAAAATTTCTCTTCTTTTACATATTTTAAAACGTGTATTTTAGACAGATAGCAAAGTACCGATCTATGTGTGGAAGTTCTCAGACCTACCTGTCTTGCAGTACATCCATTCTGAACCAGTCTAAATAAATCCACTGCCATTTTAACACTACTGCATCACATCATCTACTGGTCAGCTACAACCCGATCGCTCTTCTGGGCTCCCGCGCAATTGACGTCACATATCCAAACACAGCAGCCGATCCATACCCGACAGGCGATATGCCGCTCTGCTTCAATGTCTATAGATTTTTAGAAGTGAATTAATCGCAGATACATGAAATTTGGTTCCTTTTTCTTTAAGCGTTGATTGATCTATTGATTTTGATTACGTTTGAGGAGAGGTGTTTAAGCGTCCATGCTTTATACTCCCTGCTCCTGGGCCATTTTTAATGATTCTGAATTACTTTGAACTTTAAAATGACTGATGAACTATTTTATTGATATTTCGATACCTAGAAGAATGCATAATTTATAGTGGTGTCTTTCTTAAATGACACAAGAACATGATACTCCCGATAGTTAGTACTTTACATATTTAAATTGCGTGTGTAAGAAGTAAGATTACAGTTTAGACATTCCATCGTAGGTGCTGGAATTATAAATTATATGAGAAAATGTAATATATATTTTCCAAGGCCTCGGTCTTTCATAGGTATTCCCTCCCTTTAGTCTACTCTGATGTTCTACGGAGATGGTGAAAACATTTAATGACGTGACACTCTCTTATGATGCTGATATTTAATGCCGTTTCATTGTCTCCCAAAGGGTGTGCGAAATATTTGATCTCATTTAGGTTGCAGTATATGAGAGAATAATATAATGATAAATCACACTGGATAACTGGAAGCATTTCATAGATTTTCCTAAAATATTGTAAATGTCTATATACGAATATCTCAACTGGGTTGTCCAAAACTGAAAACTTGAAAGACAAACGCAAAAAATCTGAAGCGAGCACTGGTTCCAGCAATTTAAAAGCTTGTTATTAAGGAATACAATTCGCTCAAAAATAATTTATTGTTCTGTATTTTGGAAAATCTAAAATTGATTTTAAAGAAAGAGTAATCGGTAATTTGCTAATAACAAAATCGTAAGGGTCAAACAAATGGAACGCTTTTCGGTCACGTGCGCATGTGACGTCGTTTTTTATAAAATATATTCTGCACAACAGGGGATGTTTACTCCTCCTCGGCACCTGATCCCACCTCTGGAATTTCCTGGAGTCCGTGTTTATACCCTTTTTATAAATAATAAAAATATGCTTAAAGATTTTTTGATATCAACCACTGTTCGTTATCTTCACCCTTTTCCCTAGCTGCAGATCTGTAGCGTTATGGTTTTATATATTTGTCTTTGACCATAACGCTACAGATCCTGTAATGCTAAAAAGGTGCAATTTACGGCGCAAGATTTTTTGTGCACTTTTGGGGAGAATTTCTCCACTTTCCAGCATCGATTAATTAACTACCTTTCACTTCCTAATTCTAGGTACATTATTTAACTAATCTGTATATTTTATCCATCTCCCAACCCTTTATAGTCGTCTCTTCAAGTAATAAACTCGCTTGATTACAATTATTTGTAGGATTGCTGAAAATTCTCTTCAAGCGAGTTTCTTGCCTGTAGAGACAACTATAAATAGTTGGGAGGTTGATAAAATATACATATTGGCGACAAAATGTGTCTAGAATTAGGGAGTAAAAGGTAGTTGATTGACCGATGCTGGAAAGTGGAGAAATTCTCCCCAAAAGTGCGCAAAAAATATTGCGCCGTAAATTGCACTTTTTTGCATTACGGGATCTGTAGCGTTATGATCAAAGACAAATATATAAAACCATAACGCTACAGATCTGCAGCTACCTTTTCCCATATTCATAAAAAATGAATTCATATGCAGGGAATTTCATCTTTTTTTCATTTGATTTCATCAACCAGCGCTCCTTATTGTTAACCTATTACAACCTCGGATAAATTCTACAAAGAACTTTGCAATTTTTCATTTTTTACTTTAGTTTAAGGACAGATGATACAAACACAAACTTGGATGCCTGGATTGGTAGGTATTTATTAACTTATTTTGGTTGCAAGTGATGCAAATATTCAATTTCTTAAACATTAGGAAATTAAAGGACTATTTGTATCATCTGTCCTTAACATGCAAAAAAGAAGGATTCAGTTATGCAATTTAATATGTTTTATCTCAAAAATTTAAAATTGGTGAGACCTAAGGCCAATGTGAATTCACTTAGACTCAGTTGTAAGCATTCTCAAATACTACACATGACTAAGCATTTAGAGCTTTTTATTAGTCCAAGGTAATGGAGCAACTCGATATTATCAAAAAATACATACAGATCCACGCACATTGTTCATATTTTCTATTATATAAATGAACTTTTCCATACACAAGAAAGAAATATAAAAATTTATTAACCTCGTCAGTAAAAGAACATATTTACAATATAAAAGTGTTTCATTTGCAAAGTTAAAAATATTTGGTTAAAATGAATAGCACCTTTTTCTGTGGAAAAAAAAGTTTTGATAACCAATCGACAGTCATGAAATCAACTTATTCACGTTCATATCGAAGACCACTGAGCGGTATCCGGTCCATTTTGATACGAGTTGAAGAACTTGGGATACATTGATGGAGGACAGACTGGATTGACATTCACTGGGTAAGCGGGGTTTTCGTTTACAGCCTGTGGAAATGTAAAGGCGGGAAACGCACACGCTGCAGAGAAGTTCTGGCCATGGGTCCATAGCCCCGAAAATCCGTTGTTTTGGTTGTAGCCTGGGGGAGGGAATCGCGGGGTGTCCGGAGAGGCGCTGTTACCGGAGGAGTTGAGGTGTCCGTCCGTATTTGATACCGGGGAGTTGGACTCCATGCTTGTGTTAGCGTAAGAAGGTGGGCTTTTGAGGTCCGGATAAGGCAGGGGTGGCGATCTCTCAACAAAGGGGTTCCACAGAGGGGTGACTGCAGGCATTTGTTTCACCTCCATAAGTTGATGGAATGGTTTGGATTGGTGAAACTGTTTGATCATTCCTGAACGGTTAGAGACGTTTTCATTGTTCATGTAATCTAAGTGAGGAAGGGGGGTAGTCAGGGCCCCGGGAGTCGTGGCGAGACGCGATTTCTTTCGGGTTCCGTCTTTGAATCTGTAGCGTCGTCGGAGAAAACTGCCATGGTCAAACATATCCTCGTAGTCGGGATTGATAGCCCAATCATGGCCCTTCATTCCACTGCGACGGGACAGTTTGATGAAACACTCGTTGAGAGCCAGATTGTGGCGAATGGAGCCCTTCCAGCCTTTGGCGTTGGGATGATCCCTGTAGTACGGAAACTTATCCATAATGAACTTATATATGTCATGTAGAGTCATCTTCCTGTCCTCTGCATTACATATCGCCATGCTGATCAGGGCAATGTAACTGTATGGAGGTTTTCCCTTGGGAATGGGACGTTTTCTCCTCCTAGATCCGGACTTTTTACCGTTATCACTGACAATGTTCTGTTCTTGTAAAGCGGCGGAATGCATGCCCTCTGAGCTGTTGCATTCAAGGTCTTCTTCGAGCGGCATCACTGGTTCATTTATATCAGGCAATTCTTCCTTCATATCCTTGGGTAATAAATACATATGTCCTCCTTGCATTTCTGTATGAATATTAGCTGTGTCGCCATCTTGTGGATGACTGTAGTTTTCACTATACTCGGAAAACGTGTTCGAGTAAAGTTCTCGTGAATAGTTTCCTTCCATGACTTTATACGTCTGTATACTATAATTTCTAAGAGAAGAATGGTTTAGATAGCACTAAGTATTTTGAAGCACTTTTTCCCTAAATATCCGACATGAGTAACTCAGCTACCGTCAGACCAAAAAATGGCTTTTGTCTGATACGGAACATTCAAAAGACAAAACGAGGGGCTCCGAAGGGTGGTCTATTAAGGCACTTCTCGCTCCATTAACTTTTGATGTTTGAGCGAAGGTGTGAAAATGACCACCGTTAAGAAAACCTCTGTCAATTAAGGGATAACAATACCGTTATCAAAACAACTAGATAATTTGTTTCTTCTCTTAAATCTTTCAAAGGGAAATATTGACACTATCCTATAAACAGATAAAGTAAAATTAAAAAAAAAATCGTAGTCCTTCACATGCTTACTTCTATTTATTTTTAAACTTTTCAAAACATAGTTTAATGTTTTTAATGATACTAGGGTCATAGGCGTGATCCGGCAAGCGTGATAGGAACACATTTTTGAAACCCATGTATGTAAATATTTTTGTGTAATGCATATATATAGGGAAAAGGCCTATTACGTTTTTAGAATTTTTGACTAATCCCAATTGTAAAGTATACACAATAAAGCAGATTTCAGTTTGGAATAACAGGAGAGAGAAAATAAAAGATTCTAGTATATTGGTAACATTATAAAGAAAACAATCGTTTATTTATTTTTTTAAAAACATTTTGCACAAGTATACATCAGCATAAAACATGTAAATAATATAAATATACCTGCAAAATTGGGGGGGGGGGTGTTACTCGATTTGTCAAAAAGTTTATCAGTTTCACATTTTAAATTTTTACTTTGAAAAAAATTTCTGTGATATGGAAATATTGATACCTAGAGATAAAAACGCAAAAAAATATGATGTGAAATTATACAATATGCTCGAATAGATAGATCCACCTTTGTTGGATCATGACAGGATAAACTGTCCCTTGTAGTTACATCCGGGTGTTTTCAATATGTCTGCGCCCTTTGCTTTTGCAGTCTCAAATATGAAAAATATTTAGTTTAGAATTCCTTCTCTCTTCTAGTATCTTGAAAGGAAAGGTATGCGTACAATTAACTGTGAGCTTTTGTATTTCCATAGTATAAACGATATAACTAGAATTTTCTAGTATAATAGGTTTAATACCGCCCGGCATTGTACAGAAAATTGCAACAGCTGTTTGTCATATTTATCAGGTCTTATAATATTACAGAACTTGCTTATTGATGTTGTCAGTGTTCGTCATAAAAATTGAAACAAAATCCGAGACTCTACTGTACTGAATAACATACCTACATATTCATTATGAGTTGCTATATTTGGTACACATGAACAGATGAAGGCTTATATATGTCTCTCTTTTATGTTTTGTATCTTACCTTTCTTTCAAAATTGAACCATAAGATTAAAATAAATTTTAGTGATTATAATGATTGCTTAATCATATTCATGTCTTTAATCATGGATACTGGCAATTCCATTAAGATTTACAGTAAAACTTGGAATAATCTAACTGCATGTGTCTCTGGACAAGCCCTCACCACAGTTAGAATACCACCCATTTACTCGCAATGTAGCAAATGATTGCAAAATTGTTCTGAAACGATTTTGAAGAATACAAAAGGATTTGCCCTGAATATAACTTTCAAATTAATTGTAAAAAACCTTTTTGAGGTTGTGTATGCTTTTAAACCTTAAATATAATCCAAATAAAGACGAAAATGCAACTAATTTTCTCAACAATTTTTTCTCGCTTCAAATTTACTGGCATGTTTGCATTCAGAACTCTCAATTCGAGTTATTTCCCTTGTTTATTTTGCTACATTGTGAATTCACAGAACAAATTCTATCATTAAACCAGGTCCATAGGACATTTATCATTTTAACATTTAGAACATTGATTTCTATCTAAGTAAAACTGGGTTATTACAAAGTCACTGGGACCTGTGAAATTACTTCGCCATATCCGCAATTCTTTATATTCATATATGGAATTCACTGAATTTATATATCTAGGGATCTAAGTTAGCTATATCTGTGAATTTGCATATATCTCTGTTCATACTATAACAAGTTTTACTGTACTAGCTTAATAATGAAATATTTACATATTAAATATACCACCATCACTCTGGACGTATGTTAAAAATAATATGTAAATTCTTTAAACAGCTACACAATAAACGTCAAAGACTAACATACAGTTCTGTTGTTTAAACTGCAGAACTGTATGTTGGTTTTTGACCATAATGCTACAAATCCTGTAATAAAAGAATGTACAATTTATGGCACAAGATTTTTTGCGCACAGTTTGTAAGAATTTCTCCACTTTGCAACATATTGGTCAACCAATTACCTTAATTTCACTCCACAATTTTAGATTAATTCTTTAAGCAATCTTTATACATGTACATGTATTTTATTTACCTCCCACCCCTTCATACTTGTCTCTACAGACCAATAAACAACAAAAATTCAAAACAAGGGAGTTTGTTGGTCTTTATAGAAGACCAGAAAAGGTTTAGAGGTGGATAAAATATTGACATTGGTTTAATAATGTGTCTAGAATTAAAGAATGAAAGGTAATTGATTGAGTGCGAAGTGGAGAAATTCTACCGAGCCCTTTGCAGAAATCTTGTGCTCTAAATTGCACATTTTTATTACAGTATCTTTATGGTCAAAGACTAAAATATAAAACCATAATGCTATAGTTATGCAGCTACAACACATTTGGAATGTACAAATCATGATTAATTTCATGAAGTAAATTCATCTATTTCAGACATTTCATTTGAAAGATTTTGATTAATAGTTTCAGAAATGTAAAAAAAAGATGTAGACTTATATCTTAGGTGGTTTTCTGTGAACTTTTCAAGTTGCTTTCTGATTGAAAAAGAAATGATAAAAAATAAGACATTACATATAAATACTGCTCCTCTTATTAATATTTAAAAAACACAAATATATTTTTCTAAAACCTGTAGTAAGTTATCCAGTCTTTGCTTCTGTGTTTACAGATGTACACCCTGCTATCTGGACTTTGGAAGTACATGTTTCAGAAGGATGAATGTAATGTTCTGATTCTTGGTCTTGACAATGCTGGGAAAACTGTGAGTTTATTCTTAAATTATTACTCTGCACTAAATTTGATAAATACCAAAACACTAAATACATAAATAATTCATTTTCTGTTGCTGCAGTACAATGCTATAAGTAATTTTTTTGACTTTCAAATTATTATAATATTATTGACTTTTTAGACGTACCTCGAGCAAACAAAAATCAAATTCACAAAAAACTACCAGGGCATGAACTTGAACAAAATCACAACCACTGTAGGTTTAAACAGTAAGTAAAGAAGAAAAAAAAAACATGATCATAGCTGAAAGGTGTAATGTTAAATTCTTTTAAGAGAGAGAGAGAGAGTTTTATTTGAAATCATTTTTTTCTCTCAATATTTTTGGCATTCAGCCCATATATCTCAGCCTGTAAATATTCCTGATTCCTCAGAGTTTTGTGTAAGTTGTTTTTATGAAGAATAAATATTTTACAGGATTAAGATATGAAAGGGATTAAAATTGTGTTTTGATAACTAATATGGTTGTAGGTGTCATAATAACCTAGAGTCCAAGCAATTGGAGAGGGCTTTCACTCCCCTTTCTTTGAAGATGCCATACTTAATTGACATAATTGCTGAGGAATAAATGTTCTTTTCAGTATATTGCTCTAACAAAAGAGTGTTACTTTCTTTTAATTCATTTTAGAAACAAAACAAATAGAACAAATAAAAAGATTCAAAATACAATCCATAATATCCAAAAATTAAAAAATGTATGTAATTACTTTTTTTGTCCATGATTTTAAAAATATGCTTCAAAATAGAAACATCCATGCATACATTAGACATGCATTGCACTATTTTACCACCCAGTATCTTTAAAGTTAAAAATCAGGAAAATTACTTTTTTTCATTGGTTACCTGAATTAGTAATAAAGTCTCAACTTCTTAATTTTTTTTCTTATCAAGGGGTCATCTTTTGTAAAATTTCTTTTTCTTATTGGCAATTTAATGCTTACAAAAAATGTCTCTTTTTTTCTCAAAGTAAAATGTACTACTCTGTGTTATTTGTTAAAAAGTTCATCAGTATATTTTATCAAATATAGTGTAAAGAAATTATTAAATCTCACATATCTTTTCAGGAAATGCAAATAAAAGCACTTGCATGCTTATTGGATTTTTGTAATTTAGGATAAAAAAAAATGTAGGTATCCAGGCATTTAAAGAAAATTCTATTTTTTTAATAGAGTACTTTTAAATTCCTCTATTTTATACTTCAATTGTTATTCACTACATGATGTAAAAAGCTTGGGCTATCTTTACAAGACATCACAGATCACTTCTCATATCAGGCTCATAAACATTAGTATCTAAATCTCAATTTAAGGAAAATTGTTTTCTTAAAAGATGCATTTATTTTTATACTATTATGGGAACTTTTTACAAGACTTTAGAAAAAAAATGAGAATACAAAGAACATCTGAGGTTAGTTAAAAAAACAAACTATAAATATACGAATATATAAAAATGTACATTTTCACTTCATTGTATGATACATCATTACATGTATCATCATATCTATGTCAACTATTTAAATTTTAATTAAATCAGCTGAACTGTGTTTTATTAATTTATATATTTTGATTCGACTAGTTGGTAAGATAGACATTGGACATGTGAGATTAAATTTCTGGGATCTTGGAGGCCAGGAGGAGCTTCAGTCACTGTGGGACAAAGTAAGTAGAAGTGTGAGCTCGCTGAATGATTACAGGTAAAACAACAGAAATCTGGAGGGGGGTTAAACAGGTACAGGTAAAACAATGGTAATCTGGAAAAAAACTAGTTACTTTAGGTCGAAGAAAGTAGAAGTGTGACAGATGGCAATAGGTACAGGTTAAACTGGAAATTTTGGGGGAGGGGAGGGATGGAGGAATAAAGGATGTACAGTATTTAGGTGGAAGGGGGTAAACAAGCATTTAGAAGTGATTGAGAATTCAGAGGTACCTTAGGATAGGAGGATGGGAGTTGCACTTGTTTGGAAAGTTAAGCATAAATAAAAAAAGATTTCATTGGTATCAGTACTTTTATATGTTTTTTTCAATAGTGCATCATTGTGATGTTTGTGCTTATAAGACATAGGTACATGTGTAAATGTTCTGTAATGAAAAGTTCATGAAGAAAACAACAATGAAAGTTTACTGTTAAATAGTTTTCAGAACGAAATTGAATGCATGTACACTGGATGTATTTCTTTTCATTATTTCAGTATTTTGCCGAGTCTCATGGTGTGATCTATATAATTGTTGAAATTTCATTATTTCAGTATTTTGCGGAGTCTCACGGTGTGATCTATATTGTGGATTCTTCCGACACGGACAGAATAGAGGAGTCCAAAGAGGCCTTTGGTTTGTCCCTTCTGTAAAACTGTAAAAGCCGTCGATTTGATTTTAATTTTCTTCTTAAAATGGCCCACAACTTGCACAATTTTTTTTTCTTACAGAAAAAATGGTGTCCAATGCTCAGTTACAGGGTGTGCCCTTACTGGTTCTGGCCAATAAACAAGACCTGCAGGTTCAGATTCTTTACATTTATTGCTTGATTTTTTAAAGGGGGTTGGGGGGCATCGAAACCTATATTTCAGATTTCATTTCTCTTTCTTCAAGATATTTGATATTTTAAATTATGTAATTGTAAGAATCACACTATATTTTTGGCTGAGGAGAAAAACAACATACATTTATGCAAAGTATCTTTTTGGCTGAGAAGAAAAACAACATACATGTATGCAAAGTAACTTCCTTAGTAAAAATATACACTGAACTCGGTGTTCACTTCAATGTGATAGGGAATGTGACAGAAATTTGTTTATGGGGTTGAGAAAGTCTATGTCCCTTATTGTAGTTCTGTATTATATTAGGTGTACAGTAAAGCTGTCTGAAGACTGTCATTAGCTCTGTCATTATTGGAGATGTTTTTATCTGATTTTAGGACTGTATGAATGTGCCCAGTGTAAAGCAGGTCTTCTTTGAGAGTAGTGAGAAGTATGGGGGAAGAGACTGTAATATAATGGGCATCTCAGCATTAAAAGGGTAGGTAGCCTCAGATGGATGGCTGTAGTTTATGTCATCCTGCATTTTCAAAAAGTAAATTAGACAATTTGCTCACCAGACATTGTAACTTTTCAATATAAATTTGTAAAGAGCCTATTCATTAAGGGTCCTCCACACGCTCACAGCTTATGTTCTCATATTATTGTGCATTACTTTTAACAAGCATATCAACCCTTAAAAACTGGCCAGGGATTAAAATGTAATTTACACGGATTTAAAAAAAAATAATTTCACAAGTTTCATATTTTTCTCAAGGCGTTTTCATACGTAGCACACAAATTTTTGTCTTACCTTATTGTATATTTTTAAGCTTTATACCGAATAACCATAAAAACTTAATTTTATCGATCAACATATTTTTTAGAGAAATTTATTTAATTTATAAAAAATAAATGAAACTCATTTTCTCTAAAACACATGTAGAGAAAAATCAAGTAAGATTCCTTTTGTGTAGAGGAAGCATCAATGAATTAGATTACACCAAAAAATTGAATTAAAATTAAATGCACTGATGTAGAAAAAATATTTTCAAAATCTTTGGTATCAAAGTTCGTTTTTGGAGTTATCTCTCCTGTTGCCCGGGACTCAAAAACTTTGGCAAGTCCCTGCATACGTCACCATACAGTTACTCATTATTGGCTACTGAACTGGGCAGATATAAAAGAGGAAAACTAGAAACGCATACTGTTATATCGATATTTATAAACACACAATGAGATGATATATTATTGAAACGCACAAATATTAGTGTCTAAAAATATCAACTTTCAACACAGACTCTGTTGACGATCATGTGGCAGTGGGTTGACTAACATGAAAGTATAAATAACCTAAAAGTTCTCGTCATACAGGTATCCAATGTTTATGATTTATTATGTAACATATAAACCCAGTTGTTTGTCGTTCTTTTATAGAAAAATGGACATCTTTTTCTATCGGTCACTCTGTGACCATGCCATGTGTTCATTGTTTGTTATGATTAGGGTGTCGCTCTCAGTGTACTGCATACTTTTCCCTTGATAAAACCTCTATCTCTAAAGCGTTTGAAAGACTCTCTTACAAGCGGTACCAGGCAATTTCGTCACTACAGAAACTACATAAAACCGGAAGTAAAAGTATTTTTTTCTCTATATACGTCACAAGTCACATGGTGTGGAGGACCCTTAAAAGTATTTCAGTAAAAATACAGGATTTGTACATTTCTGTTCATTTGAATATTTATTTGGACATCTATAAATTGCATCTGTTTTTTAACTAAAGATTTTTTTAAATTTAAAACAGGGAGGGGATTAAGGATGGGATATTCTGGCTTGTAGAAAGCATTAAAAACAATAGTGACGTTAGACCACCAGTTCAGAAAGAAATCACATGACCCAAACATCACCATGGAGACCAGAAGAGACAGGTGCTTTCTTACACAAAAATTGATGCCTCTTATTTTCATGAATTTCTTACACAAATAAGGCATTGTAAAATGTCTTTGGGTAATATATAAGGATGGGGAAGTCTTAAACATGAAAACTATTTATATCAAACTAATATGTTTGTTGTATATAGTTATCTTTATTTATTGTTATGAAATGTTCACTGTCTGTTTTCGGGCAGTGATTATATTTTGTTGTTATTATTTTATTGGATTTATATACACTTTGTCAAATGTAACATTTTTAATAATGATGAAAGATGCATGTATTAAAATTTTAAATCAACTTTTTTCTAAAAATTGTATGATTTTGTTACCAGGTATTATTTTCACAAAAAGAGACATTTATTTAAAAAAAAAGCAAATCAATGTTTTCAATATATTAGTAATAAGCAATTGTTGTTTGAAAAAAAAAATGCTGGGCAATTTTAAAATTGCTTTAAAAAGCACACTAAGAATTACTTGATGTTTGCACCTGTGTAGTTTGTGTGAATGAAGAAAGCACATGGAGGGAAAAATGAGTATATCATGTACATCAGGGTATATTTAAGGAATAACAGTCTAGTCAGTAGAGTATGCCAGGGCATCAATGATAGTTGGAAACATGGGATAATTTGCATAATGGGCGAAGCCCGTATGTATAAACTATCCCATGTTTCCAACTATCATTAATGTCCCTGGGCATACTGTACTAACTAGACAGCGATTCCTTATATTTCCATTTCATTGTAAAATAAAGTTGTAAATTTAGATTCTTAAAAATGTACACTAATAGATTTAAATTACATGAGGTCTCCCCTGTCAATTTCAAAAGTCCTCGCCCAGTGATGTCAAACTTAAAGACAGCCACATGAGATTTACATGATATTAGGCCTCCTTATCTCCTCACCTATCGCTTGGCAAAATTTACATTCCGGTAGAATGATCAAGAAATCATCTCTAGTAACTTTCAAAGAGATATCACAGAGAAAACAAATAGAAATGGAAATATTTATGTATACTGTACTCCTCTGGTACATTACTGAAATTTTTTTAAATCATGATAAGTTGTAATAAAATGTTCACCATCGGAGAGACTTAATATTTTCATGAATCATTAGTATTTACATGTATTACATTGTTTTAAATGGTAATGGTAATATGATCTCTTATTGAAACAAGCAAGGTTCACATATCCTTAATGAGCTAGGGAGGAAAAGATGCATGTGAACTTTACATGATGTAAGATGTGAAATAAATCTGTTATAATTTTTAGCCTTTATTATTGTCTAATGATGTGGAAGGTGCTCAATAAACCCCGCTGGTCCAGGAAAGGAGCAGTGTCCAGGATATACTTGCTTTTAGTAATACTGGATGAATATATTAATTTACAGGTGCAGAATCTTTTGTCTCATGCAGCAGGCTACAAAAGCAAAATATGTCAATACACCAGAGAAAAATAATATTATTTTGGAAGAATTTGTGCTAAATAAAAAGTATCACAAAATTCAAATAGAGACTCATGGGCACATTGCTAATCTGTGCACTTTGACTACTGCTAGAAAAATGCAGAATTCAGGTATTAGAAATTTTATGCTTTCATATTCATACTTTGATGGTCATACCCTAACTATAGGGGTAATGACTGAACAAACGAATCTACACTACCAAAGTATGCTTCAATATTTATATGACTAATTCATGATCTGCTATTCCTGAGATGAAGATTTTTTTTATGCCTGTCTTCAGATGGGAGTCATGGGACACATCATTGTTCATGTCCATCCTGTATGTTAACCTTAAATACTCTGAGGCTTAGATCAATCAAATTTTGTCAGCCGATACATCTTTGTTAGAAAGTGAAGCAAAAATTTCTCGCATGCGAATAAAAGTTGGTTTATGGTAGTGACAGAAGCAGGGCTTGTAGCATGTGAATTTGTGGAATCAAGAGCTTGTAAATATAAGGAATAACTGTCTGATTTTTTTGTTTCATGACGCTGATCAGTTGATTGGCTTGCATAATTTAATGCAAATTATCACGCAAGCCACTCAACTGATCACATCATGAAACCAAAATATTAGACAGTTATCTAAAAATTGAGTACATTTTATAATTTTACTATAGGATTGATTATACAGGAGTATTTTATTTTTAGCGAGAAGTAATTTTAGTGATTTTGAAATGCTCACTGAAGAAGTTATAACAACTAAAATGTAATTAAATTTTAACGAAATTTAATTTTTGCGATTTCGGTATCCTTGCTAATAATGCCAAAATTAAGTCCTAGCTCAGAAATTTTTTTATATGGTATATTGTACATTGTATGTACACAAATTTTACCACTTTGTTTCTAAAGGGGGCATCTTAATATGCAAGAAAAGCCTGAATTTTTCTGTTGTTATGAAGTACATGTACTTCAAAATATAAATAATGATACAAAAGTGATTGAATCTCAAATTTTTATATTTTAAATTATAAGAGCATATATTTAATATTCTTTCTTTTATAACATTTTTATTACCCCTTCTTTGAGAGCTTCAGTTTATCACAACATCAAAAACACACTATTTTGCCATCAATCTACCTATCAGTTGAAAATTGTTTTAAAAATCAGTTAAATAAATTTGAAATTTCATTTTTAACCTAAAATTTCTTAATTTTGTTACATTTTATTTATTTCCGTACAATCCCTATTAACCGCCCCTGCCCCTATAAGTGCTCCCTTAGGTCTTTTTCAATTGTCAGGAAATAAAGGGCCCCCTGTACAGTGATTATAATCATCTAGAATTGTATTAGTAAGTCTGCCAAAATTTGAAGAAACTGAAAATGAAACCTGTCTATAATCCAATTTCTCGGTGGAAAATGAATCATTTAGCTTAATTGGGTTTGATTATCTTCACTTCTTTGAATTCATTTCTTTTTTCAAAGATTTTTTGAAGTTAAAATATGACATTAAATATTATAAAGAGAATACTAAAATAACCGCCCCCCTTTTGCAATTTTCTAAGTGCTCAGGGCGGTTAATAGGGATTATATGGTAAGTGAAAAAAGTTGCTTTAAAATGGTAAATACGCTTCATTCTGCTATAATGATGCACGAAGTATTGCGCCATGGAAACCCCAGTAGGCCCCCTAAAATAGATTATTTAAAAAAAAAAAGAGTCTTTGATTTTTATATAATTTATTACTTTTTCTTTAAAAAATATACAATTTTCAACAACTTCATGATAAACATACTAGGAAGAAAACATAACAAGCACCAACACATGCTTCAGATTGGGATTCCCCCCTGTAACACAAACCAACTTTATATCAAAGATCGATCAATCTTTTTTTACTGGTTTACACATAAATCAAAGTTCTTATTTAATGTTTTTCCAATATATCCTAATTACAGAAAGAGATCATGTTCAAGGTAAGCAACATCATCTTATATAGGAAAAAGATGTAGAGTTAACAAGTACCAGTAGGTAGCTTTTGAATTAAAAGATATTCAGCCGAAATGGAAGATGTATCATCACCACATTAAGCAATGCCGACTAAATTACACCATCATTATTTAAAACTTTTTAAAAAAATGAAATACACTTGTAATTCTTTCCTGCTCTCATTCAGCGATATATCAGTACAGCCATGTGTTGATTACAATTATTAAATGATTTAAAATCATAATTACTTATTATAGTGAGTATAGTTTTATGATTTTCTATTTTGAAATATACAATAAGACTAGATATGTCACACATGATGAATGCTTCTGCAGAAGAAAAATCAAAAAAAAAAAAAAAAAGTAATTAATTTAAACTTTTGGACAATAAAGCTCAATGTCATTCATGCAAAAATGAAACTGAATTTTGATCTGTTCAATATAAAGAAACAAGATTTATAAATAAAAAGTGCATTATGGATAATGACAGCTTGCAAAAAGGTGATTAATTTGAAATTTTTAAAAGTCCAGGGCAGAACATTTAGAAAAGGGGTTAACTGACATTAAACTAACGAAAAATACCAGCAATAAATCTTGGACAAGAATTAAGTTCTATTGGTTTGCTTATAAAATAAAGATGTATCTTGGTATAATCCCATGGGTGATCCTGTCCTTTACTCATGATGAGTAAAAGACGAGATCACCCGAGGGTATCCAACCATGAGTATAGTCTACTGTGTATCAAGCTTCTGAAACTAAACTTTGCAACATACTAGTAGTTTGTGGAAATGAAAAACAGATAGAAAGATTTATTCAAGTATAGTCTATTTGTGTACCAATTCTTATTGAAATTACCGGTAGACTAAAATTATTGGAGAAGAAACATTTGGAAAGAATTACTAGTACACATACGGATATTTCTATTTTTAGTCATCATGACATAACCATTCTTCATAATCAGAAATAAGTACACACATAAATAAAATTATGTATCCTAATCAGTTAAGTTTACTTTTGTATCATGTTTTATTGAAATCAAAATAAAATTGAGGGAGGAGTACCAGTTTAGTAGAACTTCTGAAATTTCTAATTTTAGTAACCAAGGTAACAACTGTCCAAATCAGAAACCAGTATAAATGATAACAGACAGATGGTTGATTGAAACCTTATCAAGGTTTAACCTTAAATTTGGTCTTGATCATTGGCTTAGCTCAATATCAACAAAAAAAGTCTAGAAAACTAAGACAGAACGATGGACGGAAAAGGGAAACAATATATGCCCCAACTATTTCTGTGTTCAGACATGTGCAAAAATACAACAATCTACTTGATCAGGGTAAAAAAAAATTCATCTATGTTTTTGACAATCAGTGTTCATAAAACAGAATCAACAGATTTAACTACCAAGTATGCTTGTTCAACAAGGAATTTATATCGATCCTTAAATATACTTTTACTATCAAATATATCACTGCTTATAAAAAAATTACCTCTGCTTATATTGAGATCTATATAAATGCAGGTTTCAATAATAAGAGATTGCAATCCGTTTAAAGTAATATCTGCTTACGTGAGAGATTATCTTTGCTAAAAAAAATTAGTAACTGAGATTTCTTTCCGCCCACATATCCGAGTTTATATGTGCTCCTCAAGTATCAGATATGATCTATGCTCATAAAGAATGGCTATGCTTGTTAAACAAAGAATACTTTAATTAAATTAGTGTTCATGCTTATAAAGCCAAAACCTAACAATATTACTTAAAAAAAATAAAGAATATTTAAGCCTATAACACGCTTTCACCTACTGGTACATGGGACAATATAAATTGTCAAAAACATACCGGTACTTGGCGGCTACATTTATTGTGATAACACTCAAAAATATAAACTACAGTAAATTTGCTCCACCCTTCCCGGGGGGGGGGGGGGGGGGGGGGGTAAAAA